CTGATATTTGAATTTTTGAGTGAACTCAAATTCATTTGACTTGAGGGTTATAGGCTGTTCCGTCTGCAGCTCCACCATAGCCTGCCATTTTCGCTAAAGTGCCGCTCTTAAACCTCCACTCTGTGCACCAGAACTCGGTTTAAAAGCATAGGATTGACATTTGTTGCAACATAGTGGGGTCATTCAGCATTTGTTGTTGCAACTGTTGTTGTGGTGTTAGTCTTACTATTGGATGTTTCAATGCTCTCTTCCTCTTACGTATATTCTTACGTAGCTTACGTGGCATTTTAAGTGAAGTTAAAAAACATTTACGATGAAAAGTTTCGACAAAGCATTTACGAAGAAATCATGAAATTCAAGAGGTGAGAAACAGGTGAGAAAACGGTGACATCTCACTCTTTCACCTAAATTTATATTTTTGGGTCATTTACGCTCATTACGATGAAATCATGACAAAACATTTACGATGAAGAAGTCTTGACAAAACATTTACGAAGAAGTCTTGACAAACATTTACGAAGAAATCTTGACAAATTCAAGAGGGTAGAAAAGAGTTAGAAAAGAGGTTATATCTAACCTTCTACCCTAAACATTATTTTTGTCTGATTTTACGAAGAAGTCTTGACAAAAACATTTACGAAGAAGTCTTGACAAAACATTTACGAAGAAGTCTTGACAAAACATTTACGAAGAAGTCTTGACAAAACATTTACGAAGAAGTCTTGACAAACATTTACGAAGAAGTTGACAAAACATGAAAACATATATAATTTGTGAAAAGCTCCTGGAAGACCTCCGAATAAAAACTTCATTTATGTGGGCTAGAAGGCACGAAGTGCCTGGAAGGTCACCCCAAGAAAAAAAAACTTCATTATACTCATTCATCCTCAGGGCTAGAAGGCACGAAGTGCCTGGAAGCCCCACTACCTTTTTTTTTTTTTTTTTTTTTTTTTTTTTTTAAAAATATAATTTTGAGATAATTATGTAAATAATATTTTAAATATTTGAATTTGAGGTATAATTTTATAGTAAAATAATTATAAAGAGTATTTATATAAATATTGTAAAATAATATAAGTAATAAAAATTGAGACCTCCTCCCTGTTTTTGATGTTTTGTCACTTTTTCGGTAATTTCTAGAAACTCCTCTTAGAACAGATTTGTTACCAACCATTCACGAAATAAAAGCTAAGTACAATCTAGGTTATAAAAAAGTTTTAGAGAGTTACATACATGATGACACAGTTTCATTTCACGATATGCTTAAATTATACGAAAAAGAGAATCTTTTCAAATTTCGGCGAGATCCAGAAAAAATTGATGAACATCCAAATCAGTATGTTTCCCAATACGTAAATCAGCAATGGCATACTGATTTAAAAAGCTTCAAAGAAGAGACAAATGGTACCAAGCATACTTATCATTTAATTGCCTTTATCGATGACAGATCTCGTTTTTGTATTTATTACGAAATTCTTCCCGATAAAACAATGAAATCAACTTCAAAAGCTTTACAAAATGCTATCGACTCTATCAAAATTATTCCATACGAACTTTTGACAGATAATGGATGCGAATTTACAGGAAAGGACTTCAAAAACGTTCTTCAAGTAAATGGCATTCAACACCATCGGACAGAACCTTACACACCACAGTTAAATGGTAAAATAGAACGTTTTTGGCAAACAATCTTTTCGGCTCGCCCAGATTTTATCGAAATAAGAGAATTTTTACCTCACGCAATAGAAGAATACAACACAGTATGGGTTCATACAGCTCTTAAAGATCTTTTTCGGTGGAAAACTACTCCAAAATCAATTTGGGACCAGGGTCCTAAATGGACAAAGGACTTAAACCCAAATCCTGAGTTTCGAAATACAGCCTCGTAACTAAAAATAAAGTAAAAATACGAATAAACATTTTATTATAATTTAAAAATTTTTTTATTCATAAAGTATACGATATATAGCTAAGCTATGTAAGGATATTCTGATGCTGAGAGTTTAAGAACTTTAAATTACGTATAGAAAAAAAATTCATTTAATATTTTTGTAACATTTTTTAAATTGATAGATAGTTAGATTTTGTAGGGGAAGGTAAGATTCTTTGTGGTAATAATGGTCGTTGAAATTAAAATGAATGTAAGATTTGTGGAGAAATTGTATAAATTTGCATAGTGTTAGATTCAGAATAGGAGCATATGAGCCAGTGATTGTGTCTAATGTTTTTAAGCTGCTAATTGGAAGTAGAAAAGAAAAAATTTTGTTGCAATAACATCATATTGCAAAAAAGTTTTTAAAATATGATGAATGAATAAGAGTATGATTGGTATAGATTTGGGTTGTATAAATGTGATTGAACAATTGTTAATGGAAAGTTCAAAAACTTGGGTGCAATCAGTTCTGATTGCACCCAAGTTTTTGAACTTTGTATAAGGAATTGTTGGCTATGATGTACTGATCATGAATCAGTACATCATAGCCAACAATTCCTTCGCAAACAGCGGGAAACTTTGTCTGAATAGTTTAACATTCAGACAAAGTTTTCCGCTGTCAGAGAGGGAATGGAAGGGTAAGAGGTATATATTCATAATGTATACCTCTTACCCTTTCATTCCTCGAGAAAGTTCAAAAAACTTGGGTGCAATCAGAACTGATTGCACCCAAGTTTTTGAACTTTGTATAAGGAATTGTTGGCTATGATGTACTGATCATGAATCAGTACATCATAGCAACAATTCCTTCCCAAACAACCCGAAATTTGTCTGATTCCACACTAATTTTATTAATTTTATCTAAACTTTTATCCTCGTCTACAATTTAATCATCAATAATTATCTCTTGTTCTATTTCACTATTATATATATATATATATTTATATGATTTGATTTAAAAAAAATAAATAAATAAATTATTAAATCATTTACTCAAATATATCAAAAGTTTTATTTATATATATAAAGATAACTACTTTTAAAAAAAATACCCTATATATTTTTGCCATGTAAACTATTTTTGCCATGTAAACTTGTCACTTTTGTCAGAAGTGAAGTGAACCGAATTTTCATGCACAACACATTTTAATTTCAACGACCATTATTACCACAAAGAATCTTACCTTCCCTACAAAATCTAACTATCTATCAATTTAAAAAATGTTACAAAATATTAAATGAATTTTTTTCTATACGTAATTTAAAGTTCTTAAACTCTCAGCATCAGAATATCCTTACATAGCTTAGCTATATATCGTATTACTTTATGAATAAAAAAATTATTTAAATTATAATAAAATGTTTATTCGTATTTTTACTTTATTTTTAGTTACGAGGCTGTATTTCGAACTCAGGATTTGGGTTTAAGTCCTTTGTCCATTTAGGACCCTGGTCCCAAATTGATTTTGGAGTAGGTTTTCCACCGAAAAGATCTTTAAGAGCTGTATGAACCCATACTGTGTTGTATTCTTCTATTGCGTGAGGTAAAAATTCTCTTATTTCGATAAAATCTGGGCGAGCCGAAAAGATTGTTTGCCAAAAACGTTCTATTTTACCATTTAACTGTGGTGTGTAAGGTTCTGTCCGATGGTGTTGAATGCCATTTACTTGAAGAACGTTTTTGAAGTCCTTTCCTGTAAATTCGCATCCATTATCTGTCAAAAGTTCGTATGGAATAATTTTGATAGAGTCGATAGCATTTTGTAAAGCTTTTGAAGTTGATTTCATTGTTTTATCGGGAAGAATTTCGTAATAAATACAAAAACGAGATCTGTCATCGATAAAGGCAATTAAATGATAAGTATGCTTGGTACCATTTGTCTCTTCTTTGAAGCTTTTTAAATCAGTATGCCATTGCTGATTTACGTATTGGGAAACATACTGATTTGGATGTTCATCAATTTTTTCTGGATCTCGCCGAAATTTGAAAAGATTCTCTTTTTCGTATAATTTAAGCATATCGTGAAATGAAACTGTGTCATCATGTATGTAACTCTCTAAAACTTTTTTATAACCTAGATTGTACTTAGCTTTTATTTCGTGAATGGTTGGTAACAAATCTGTTCTAAGAGGAGTTTCTGGTCTTCCGAGCTTTTTTGGATTTAAACCAAGTTCTTGCCATTTTAATAATAATTTTTTTCTACCTATGTGCAAATCTTTTGCAACTTGGTCTGCTGTCTTTTTGCCAATAGAATATTCAAGATATGCCGTAATATAAATCTGATTTTCATTTGGCAGATCCACTTCTTGTCTTTCCATTTTTTTTGAATCAATTTATACAAATAAACTTATAAAACACAAAATTATTATTTTATAATATAATTCTTAGATAATACATCCGATATGTAAAGTGTCAAAAATGAATTGAACCGAATTTTCATGCATTACAGACATTTCAAAATATATTGAAGGAATAACATTTGTACGAAAAGACTGGAGGGATTTATATGAAGAATATAAAAACAAAGAAAATATATTCTTTATTTGTGACCCTCCATTTTATAATACATGGGATTTTCAATACCAAGCAGATTGGAATTTAAAAAATACATTGGAAACATTAGATGTATTAAATAAACATAACTGTTTTTATTTTACTTCAGACAAGAGTGGTTTAGAATGTGTTATGGAATGGTTAAATGAAATTCACAATTACGAATTTAAATATAATAAAATAGAATATGAAAGAGGTCCTATTAATCGGCGTAAATGTCATAACAAAGAAATACTTTTAGTTTCAAATGTTGGTCAGTCAGTCAGTCAGTCAATGAAAACATTTAAAAAATATTTTTATTAAAAAATGAAAAATTTAATTTTTAACATAAGACAGGAAATTTAATTTAAACCATTAAGTTTCATGGAATAGCTTAGTTCAGTCAGTCAGTCAATGGAAACATTTACCCAAAGACTTAAAATTAAAATTTTGTCAAAAGTCAAAAAATATTTTTAAAAAAAAATTTAAAAATTTTGTCAAAAGTCAAGAAAATTAAATTTGGATTTTTATTCCTTATGGTAAAGAACTAAGAATGAAATCAATGAGTTGCGTTTTTGTTTTTACCAAAAGAACTGCATTCTTGAGAACTTCGCGTTTGTCTTTTCCTTTTGGAGATTTATTTTTCCAATTCTTCATATGCTTAAGTGTTTCATATGAAAAAGATTCAAGAACATAAAGTCTTTGTTCTTTAGTAAGGTATTCTTTTCCTTCCTTTTCTTCTCCATTTGTTTTTGTGGAACTTGTAGAATTAATTTCACATTCTTCGAGAGGGTCATATTCTTCATCTTTTCCGGTAATGGTTCTTTTCTCTCTTATGTAAGCATTGTGTAATATATTAAGTCCTTCTTCCAATTTTGAATCTTTTTGTCTCATTGGTAAAGCTACATGTTGTAATTGTTTGAACACCATAAATTCTTGGAATTCTCTAAAGAGTTCTGGTGGAACAGACCATTGTGGGAGAGACGTACTTTCGTTCGACATCAAACGTTTTGTGAAAAACAAATACTTTTTGTGAGGAACATATACTTTTTGTGAGGAACATATACTTTTGTGTAAGGAACTCAAACGTGTTTTGGGGCAAACTTTAATATATTAGATATAAATGCGATTCCGATATTATAATTGCAATAAAATTTTTGGTCTTAACCTCTGCTTTTTCTGAACACACATTGAATAAGTGAGGTATAAACGGTTTGGGTCGGATGTTTACGAAAAAGGTTTTTGAAGGACAAAAACCGCTTGTTTCACCCATAAACATAAAGAGTTTTTGTGGTGCATAAACAATGTCTGTTCAACATCCACTATGCCAGATTGAATTGAACGAAGATATCGCCGAATTCCTCAGAGAAGCTTTAGGAAATAAAAGAGAGATTCTTTTAACAAGGCTGTCCAAGCGCCAGATTTCAAGAGTGGAAACACGGGGCGGTGTTATATTTGATTTCGATGACGAACTCAAAGAACAAAAAGATATTATGGACTCAAAAAGAGAAACCATAATTAAATTTATTAAACGACACCCTTGGTTGGATTTGGACCTTTCCGTTCCTTATGTCTCATTATTAAAAACATTCCACATTTACAGAGAACTTTTACAAAATGAATGAACAAATTTGCTCGTAAATTTTGATGGAATGCTTGAAGAAACTTATGAACAACCTCCAACAAATGAAGAAGCTAATATTCTTAAGCAATAAATAATTAATTCTAATAATTGAAACAATAAGAATTACCGAAAAAGTGACAAAACATCAAAAACAGGGAGGGGGTCTCAATTTTTATTACTTATATTATTTTACAATATTTATATAAATACTCTTTATAATATATTTTACTATAAAATTATACCTCAAATTCAAATATTTAAAATATTATTTACATAATTATCTCAAAATTATATTTTTATATATTATTTTCATATGTATAAATCATATAATCTATATCTATGCAAATCTCATCTAATTTTTTTTGAAACAAACCGCTACCATTTTATAATGGTCCATCTTAAATTCATCATAAATTCTGGTACATGTTAGTACCAGAGTCTTCAAATCTCAAACACTCTGGTACTAACATGTACCAGACGCGAGTTTCCAATGCCCTCGTACGATTTTCTATTAAGATCTTCTTGAATGAGAAGGTCTTCATAGAAACTCGTACGAGGGCTTCTCTTTTAAATACTCTGGTACCTGCTGGTATCGGAGTCGACTTTACAGCCCTTTCCCCAATTTTGAAGCTGGGGAAAGTTTTCAAGCAATGAAAGGGAAGCTCTCGCTATGAGGTGAAAATCTAGAATTTTTACCTCATAGCGAGTAATCCTTTGTTAATTGCTTGAAAACTTTCTTCAAATTATCAAAATTTCGAGGAAAGTTTCCTTGCTTCAAAGTAGAGATGGAGCCCTTTGAGCCACTGCATATAGGTCAGTAACTCAAAATACTCCATCTCTACTAGAAATCGCCAAAATTTGGGTCGCAATCTTTGAAATGCGACGCAAGTTTTGGCAATTTCGCGAGGGACTTGCTCCATTTGGTGCATAGATTCACACTCTATGCACCAGATGGAACAATTCTTTTGCTGACAGCGGGAAACTTTGTCTGAATAGTTTAACATTCAGACAAAGTTTTCCGCTGTCAGAGAGGGAATGGAAGGGTAAGAGGTATATATTCATAATATATACCGCTTACTCTTCTATTCCCTCAAGAAAGTTCAAAAACTTGGGTGCAATCAGTTCTGATTGCACCCAAGTTTTTGAACTTTATATAAGGAATTGTTGGCTATGATATACTGATCATGAATCAGTACATCATAGCCAACAATTCCTTCGCAAACAGTGGGAAACTTTGTCTGAATAGTTTAACATTCAGACAAAATTTCCCGCTGTCAGGGAGGGAATTAGAGGGTGGGAGATATATAGATAGACTATAAATCTCTCACCCTTTAATTCCCTCAAGAAAGTTCAGAACTGATTGCACCCAAGTTTTTGAATTTTGTATAAGGAATTGTTGGCTATGATGTGGATAGCCGCTGCCAGACCAAATGAATTAACCGTTGTGAATAACGTTTCTGAATCTTTATTTAAAAAGATAAAATATCACGATTTTGGCTGCGTTAAAAATCAAAGAATTGATGTTTTTGTCAAAAATCTTTTAGAAGAAGTTGCACCCAATTACTTTTATCGTATTAAAAACGATTTACTTCAAACAGGTTTTATTCCTTCAATTAGAATTCGCGAGCCTCGATTGACAGATTATAAAACAAAATTGAAAAGAGAAGTTCAATCACGTTTATACCAAGTATTAAATTTTGTTCAGAATCAAGAAGCCAATTTGAATCCATTAAGATTTTTATTGGAAAATGCTGAAGAAAAACTTTCTCAAATAAATGAGAAGATACAAAATTCAATTACATATTTAAGATCGTTTGAAATTCCAAATGAATTGTTAGATACGTATATGTTAGAAATTAATGAATTTTGTTATAATTCTCCAGATTATATTTTAGAACATTTCGAAGAATTTTTGGAGGATTTCAAAGAAAAGAATAATTTAATAGACTAAAAAATTTATTATTTTTATTTATTGTGAATTTTAAATTGTCACTTTTTAAGTGTTACTCCCTATTGAAAGTGTCACTTTTGGGGTGTCACTTTTTCGGAAATTCTTATATACTCTGCTTGAAGAAACTTATGAACAACCTCCAACAGATGAAGAAGCTAATATTCTTAAGCAATAAATAATTAATTCTAATAATTTAACCATTTTTTATTTTCTTGACTTTTGACATTAAAATTTTTGACAGCGGTTTTTTAAAATCCACTTTTTCAATAGGTTGGACCACTTCATTTTTCCTAATGTCGGAACAAGTTAGCGAGCTCGAAAAAACAGTACAGGGCTTTCAGACCAAATCCAAGTTCAGTAGGCTCACATTTGCAGACCACATGGCAACAGTTAGTATACCTAAGTCGTGTACTGTGGCACTGCGCGCCTCCGTACACAACTTAGCGGTTTTGACACTTTACGAAACCGTTAATGTATATTTTACAACACAAACACAAACACCAACTTAACCTTAAATATTTATAAAGCCGCCAACCACTTCACCTCACTAATGAAAAAATAAACGTTTTCACAAACGACTTCACTAATGTAAAAATAAACGTTCTCACTTACAAAAGTATTGCAACTCCTCCCATTGCTGTGCTTCACATAACAGCTCATAATCTTCTGACTCACTTTCTTCTTCATATAGGTCAAAATCACTGTCAAAATGAATGTTAGTAAGTTTTGACAAAGCTAATGAAACACGTTTACCGTTTGTATCGTATGCTTGTATAAACTTTCCATTCTTCATTCCTTCATAAACGCTCAAACTAACTTTACCCTTTCTCCCTCGTATCTGATAGAATGTATTTTCACGAGGAACGAAGAACAAATTCTTGAACTCATGACCGTTGTAGTTTGTTATCTCAATAGTTTTCGTCATTTACATCCAAATAAAAATTTTCAGTAAAATAATAAAATAAACTTAAAAATTAATGATATCACCACCCTCACACGTATGAAAACATAGCGCAAAAATAAATTTAGGTGAAGTGGTGAAATCTCACCTCTTTTTTCACCTCTTTTTTCACCCTAGCCGCAAAGCGGCTCTGACCCTTTGGGTCTGTTGAATTCATTACTTTATAACTCTCTTCCTTTCTCCAACTCTTCTAACTTCTTCTTAAGTTCAGCAATGTTGTCCTCATGAAGTTTAATCTTTCTCAAAATTCCTTCTTTATCTAATGGTTGCTTTATCTTTCTAAACTGAACTCTACCATCCTTCATAGTATGAACGTAAAAACCTTCTGGAACCGCTCCTGATTTAATGTATTCTACCAAAAATTTTTGTTTCATTGCTTCAGTGACTTTAGTCGTCATTTCAATCAAATAAAATTTAATAAATAAAAATAACGTTATTTTTTCAGTAAGGAAACGCAGGAGTTTTACGATTTATTTGAGGAGTAGGTTCTGGTTTAAATGTTGGAGTCGGTTTTGGAGTTGACTTTTGAACAGGAGTTTGTACTTTCATAGGTTCAGGAGTCATTGAAGGTGTTGTTTGTGAAGGCGTTGGTTTTGGCGATGGTGTCGGAGTTTGTTTAATTCAGCTACTTCAGTATTATTTATAACATTTGCTTTATTTCTTTTCAACATCATTACTGCTCCTGCTGTAGCTAGCAAACCTAGTGGGAGACCATATTTATATAAGGACTTGACCAAATGCTATTTTTGACAGGAGCTGGTGGAACACCTAACCTTGGTGAGACTGCTCTTTGCCATTGTGCAGCTCGTAAGAAATATTCAATAGGTGCTCCATAATCGTTTGGTAAAGTTTGTTTCATAGATGGTGAAGGTTCACGAGAGCTTGATGAAGAACTCATTTATAAGCTTTAAAAATAAACGTTCATCCTTTATTCCTCACTGTCGTCCGTGCTAAGTTATAGTCGTCAATCTTATTATTGGTATGCCTGACTTCTTACTTGTATTGCAAAGCAACAATCCCTCATAAATCCAATAAGTGGCTTTGGTACATTTTCAGTTGCTAGTTCAATAGGTCCTTTAACAGACAATTTGTATGTTATTGGAGCAGTAGATGTTTGACCTTGCTGGAAGCAAAAGTCCACTTCTGTTGGAAAACCACATAAGAAATGTGTGTTGTCATAGCTATCCCATTTATGTTCCACACTACCATCATCCACCAATGACCTCATAACATCTTCATTAAATCCTATCATATCATTGTTTGTATTGCAAGCGTTCGCAACCATTTCATAAAATACAGGTCCATATGATTTTTCAGGTTCTGCAGGCATATTTCCATAAGCTCCCATGGAAAGCTGAAGATATTTAAACTTAGGGTTCTCAAAATTAACATAATAGTTGTCTTTCTTTCTAAATAGTGCCCAAATACTTTTAACATTAATAGGCGTATAAGCTGCTGTAAATGTTGCACTTGAACTATCTGTATTCTTTGAGAATGAACCGTCCATAGGAATCCAATCCATAACTTTAACAGGAAAACATAAAGCCTCGTTTGTATAATGTTCTACAAGTTCTGTATAAATGTTAGGGTCTAAAGAGAATGACTTTGGATGAATGAAACATTCATTAAAATCCATCTTTGTTCGAAATAGTTGCTGGGTTACAGTTGTAATAGTAACTGTTCCACTAGCTTCTACTGCCTTCGTTATCATAGTGAATGGTTCATTCCATGGAACAAATTTATTTGTCGGTGGATTTGAATCTGAAGCAAATGCAACTTTAAGAGTTGGATTGAAAGCAATGATATCATTTACAGATATAGATGTGCATTGTAAGGCGTCGCTACTGAACTTTACTTTAAGCTGAATGTTTCCTGCAAAAGCTGGAATAAATCGAATAGCTTCTAATGGAAGGAATCTTCTAACAGGAATTCTTAAACGAAGCTTAAAATCAAATGATTTTCCTGCTGTAATTGGACCACTAACAATTTGTCCTGTTCTGCATGTTCCCGAATGACTCCATACATCTTCATGTCGAGTCTTTGAGAAAACATCTACTTTCTTTATTTGTTCGGTAGTTTGTGAGTTTGAAGTTATATATGCTTCTTCTCTTGCGTTGTCTTGAGAATATACGATACGACCATTTGCAAGGATTTGATATCCAGCAACTGCATAGAAAGCGTCATCGAAACCAATCCAAAATCCTGGTGGGTTTGTTTTATTGGAACCTGAACCAATTTCTTTATCTACAATAAATTGACCTTCCATTTTATACGTAATGAATGTATTGTAAAGGTCCAACATATTTTCACCAGGAGGTGAGAGATTGAATGTTACCCATGTGTTATCTTTAGCAGTTCCAGGTTGTGATGGAATCTTTGCGTCAGAATATTTTCTATTAGTGTCACCAATTTGAACTGCATTGTCTATGATATCGAAATATGAGCGAATCTGATGAATATGCTCTGCTGGAGTAAATTCGTTTAACTGTTCGTTCTGCATGTATTTACTTCGGATAAAAATATCTATTTACTTCATTATTCTCACTCTTCTTCTTGGCATTCGTGGTGGAAGTTGTTTCTTGACATTTTCAATGAACTGTACATTCTCTTTTGTCTCAACTTCTTTCACTGGCGGGTCAGGTTCTTTGACTCGGTTTGTTTTTCAATGAAATTCACGAACTTTGCAATAAGCTCTTGGTTCGTTATTGAAAGTACATCTGGCTTCTTTTCTTCTGTTCTATTGACTTTTCAGTTTGAACAGAAGGTTTTATATGGGCTTCGTGGACTTCACCCTTGCCATGCACCTTAATGTTGTCGCTCTCTGTATTCGCTAATGGAACCTTTCTTTTTCTTACGTATATTTTACCATCTTTACTCTGACTTACATAATAGAAAGGATGTTGTATTCCTCTTGCGTCATTTAATATAATAGACTCTCGCTCTGATTTTGACAAGCTCATTTTACATCGGTTAAAGTTTTAATTTTGTTTTTTATCTGCAGTCAAATGACTCAGACAAGCCCTACGGACAAGACCCAAGGGGTCATAGATGTTGAAGCATTGAAGAAAGAAATTCGTGAGCAAATTTTATCCGAACTGAAGGAACAAAAACAAGAACAAAAGCCAGAGAGACCAAAGAGAAAACTTAGTGAAAAACAACTAGCTGCATTAGCTGCTGGAAGACAGAAGAACCCACGTTTGCTGGCGAAAAAAGCTAGAGAAGAAGCAAAAGCAAAGGAAGCTGAAGCAAAGAAAGAGTAAATGGTTTATTTTTATCCAAACTAAATGTATAGACAAATACCTTTATCTGTTGCGTTCAGTAGTGAAAACCCTGACGTCAAAATAAAGGGGAACAGAGTAACGTTTAAGTTTCCAACAGACTGGATTGTGAACATAAATGAAGAGAAGTACATTGGCATAACATCTATGTATATAACACGTGCTTTCAGAAAGGTTGACTTTATACTTCAAGTCGAGATAGAAAATGACGAACAGTCTTTAAGCGCCCAAAACATTCACATATACAAATACTTTAAAGACGATACAACATTGTTGCAATGTATGATTTCATTTAATGAGATGTTCGAGAAAAAGTTCAATATTGAAGTACAAACTTTACAGCCTTTACGTGAGTTTCTTGCACAACTGAAAGAAGAAGGTAGTCAGCCACAACTTATAGACTTTCATTATGAATTTAATGAAAATGAAGATGGAACTCATGACTGTCAGTTTGTTATATATTCACCATTCAATGAAGTCGCTAAAAAGAAAGAAAATCCATTACGTATAAGGTTTCAAATCTCTGAACCCAATGAAGACTTCAAGAATGTTTTCAATTATGATGCAATACTTCCGAGGAAAAATGAATTTTCAAAGATTGTAACACCTGGCATTTGGGATAGAAAGCAAGCTATATTATATTCAAACTTAAGTAAGGGAGTTGAAAATGAGTTCATTGGTCATACAAGAACTTCACCACTTCCTAACCCTAAATACTATAAATTAACTGGCTTCAATCGTGAGTTTTGGATAGACATGTTCTCCACTCATGACCATAAGTGCCCAGTGTTCTTACCTCCAGATGGGAAAGATTGTTTATACATTGAAGCACAATTGTTAAACTCTACAATAGCTGTATTGTAAATGACCACATAGGCTTCGCCCATGCCGCTAGCGGCTTATTTTTATCACAAATGACCTCATTGCTGACAAAAATAAATGACCTCAGAACTTCAACTTACGAATAAAGCTTGTTTTAGTCGTTATTGAAAAGTTGAACTTTTCAGCAAAGCAAGGTTGACATGACTTACATAAGTCGAATGCAATCTCTTGACCATCATAAAGTGCTTTGTAAAGTTTCATTAAACTGAACTCAGAGTCTTTGTCATATGTTCCAACAGGTATGTGAATGTTCTTATCTTCATTGTAATAGCATTGTATAGCTTCAGGAAACATTTCATTAGCGGTTAAAGCAATAACATCTTGCTTCACGCCTTTCATTCTGCAGTGAAATGCAACTTCATTTAAATCATTCGTGAGTAAGTCTATGTAGGTCTTCTTTCCACAGAAAATACTTTTATAAGCTAAACTTTGTTTTCCAGGTGTTATTTCTGCAAAGTCGCTATGAAATTGACCAAGGTTCTTTCCTATAAGTTCTCTACCGTATCTCTTCTTAAACTCTGCTGCAAGCTTTGGGATGTCTTCATTATATAAGTGCATACTGTCGGTATCCTGGTAAAATATTTGAAGACCCATGTCCTCTGCAGTACAGAATACTTCATTCATAATACGTTTTGACATAGACAGAATATTAACACCAAGTGGACAGAAGTTAAAGTGTCTGCAAATGCTTTTCGTTAGCTTGAAAATAGTTTTATCTGAACCATCCAAACCTTCGAACTTCACTATATGGTTGTAATTTCTTATAGCATATCTTATAGCATCTTTGTCATCTACTATGGTTATTTTTGACTCAATAGGAGATAGAATAGTTTTGCCATAAATGCTGTTCAGAATGAGTTTTATAATTTCTTGTAAGGGGTTTTCTTCTTTCTTATACTTTAACCTTAACTCAAACAACTTCTTTACTTCATCTCTTATTCTCATATCTCTGTTTCCATCGTAATAGTATCCTTGCAACACTTCACATTTGACACCTTGATATTTTATGAGGTCTTGTAATGTTATATGGTCAACATACATGAGACAGCAAGTGTTTGAACTTCTTGGAACGTTAAGTTCTGGATTTAGTTCAGGGTCGCAAACTATTAAATGAAAGTGTCTGGGTATACCAATCTCTGTTATCTTAATGAGAACAAAGAAGCCAGACATAAACTTTTCACCAATGGGTTCCTTTTGGTCATCATCGAATAAATGTCTCATGAGATACTCTGTGTTTAACATTTCTTCCTTCAATACTTTTGGAATACCTTCTAAAGTATAAAGTCTTGCTATAGCTGAAGGATATAATGAAACAGTGTCGAAGTCAGCAATGAGTTTCTTTTTGCTCTTTTGTTTCATGTTATCTGACAACATACATCTTCCACCTTGAATGCATCTCGAAATAAATTCTCTTGGTTTATTTGAGAGGTCATAAAGATTTCCATTCGGGAAGTATACTCTGTTCTCAAACAATTTGTTAGCAATTGAACAAATACTAACGTAGTCATAAACGTTTAAATCAAACTCTTTCAATAAGTCATTGCGGAACTTTACAAAACCTTCTCTTAAAATTCTTACATCTTGTTTGCAGTAAAACGTGCTATATTTTTCTAAGTCGAAGTGGTTCTCATCTATTCTGCAACCTTTGATGGAATCTATGTTTTTCATAAATGTATCTGCATCCCGGATAAACTTACATGCTTCAGAAATGACACCAGTTCTGTTGTCATTTGCTAACAAAACACTGCTGTAGTAGTTATATGGAAATACTTCTTTCGGTCCTGTTTGTAAGTTAAACATAGCAGGAAATAGTTTAAGCTTCTTATTTATAACACTGTAAGAGTCTTTTATAATAATTGCCCGTCCTTTATATAAACCAGTTATTTGCATTGTTCGTGAACCTTTAATGATGGGAGTTCCTTTCACTTCTGTCATGTGTCTTAAGATGAAGTTTATGTCATAACTGAGGTTGTGAAAATATATTAAACTCTTGTCAGGGAGTCGTTCCAAAAATTCTGTTGCACAGTTTGACCCCAATATGCTTTCACTCACTGAACCATCTTCACTGTCATAACATATGTTAAAAGCTTTATGAAAGCCATCGTACTACACTCAAAGTCAGCAAAGAAAACGTGCTCAGGAATGAATTTACATTTAGCTTTATTTACTTCTTTTGACTCTGCTTTCTTCTTCAGTTGTACACAATACTTTGGAGCATATGTCAAATCTTTAAATGGTGCAAGGTTCTGTTTATATAAGTCAGTAGTATATGTGAAAAGTTCTCCATAAGAAATAGGTTCGAAATATTTGCACTCCCACAATGTTTTCATAACATCCCATAACGGTGTTGTTCTATCATAACGAACTACATATTTATCTTCTCTCTTTGTATAAATCTTCATCTGTTTCTCAATGTTCATTCCACCACAAGCTTTGAGAATTTCTATATAGTTTCGAATGAAATATGTTGTCATTGGTAATCTTTCATTTAGCATGTAGTGGTCTTCAACAAGAAGTAAGTCAATAGTTCTAACAGTTTCACATTCTTTTGGTATGTATCTCTTTATTTCATTATGTCTTGAGTCATTGAAATAACCAATGGTAACATTAAATGCTATACCTGTTGCGTCAGAAATTTCTTGTACTTTACTTTGAGGAAAGTCTCTAACACGAATGACTTCTCTCATGTGGTCAATAGTTTCTTCATTTACTCCAGCCTGAATGCAAGCATAAACGAAACAATTGTCTTCTGTCATAAGTGTTGCAGTTCTTTTGTTCAGTTCATTGAAGATTTGGTAGCGTTCAAGATTTATAGGTAATGTGCAAAGATACTTCCAGAACTGACCGCTTCTCTTCTTATAAAACTTCTTTTCACCATTATCTTTCCAAAAGCTTTCTATAAGTGCTGGGTTTCCTGTTTGCTTAAGAGCTTCCAAAATGGCTTTCTGGTCATTTGTCAGTGTGCTTTCATCTCTATATGGTCTCTTTTTTGGTTTGCCTTTCTTTACATCTGACATCGTTAAGCCTTCATATTCTGTTAAATCATACATCTTTATTTCAGTAAGATTCTTTATGTTTGTCAAGAAGAAGTCATAGTGCATTTCAACAATACCTGCAGCATTTGCTTCTATCTCTGATATAAAGTTCTCCTTCAAGAGCTGATGTAGTAATGTTCCAATATTATTGAGGTTTAACGTAGAACATTCATACTTTCCACCAAGTTTATAACATACCATCCATCTTTGTTGGAGTTTATTTTAATTTTCTCTAAGAGTCTCATGAAAACCTTACCGAAATGTTTGTGTAAGTAGTCTCTGTTTGGTTCATCTAAAGCTTCGATGTTAAAGTCAATGAGTCTATTGCCTGACTTCACATTTCTCTTCCTATTCTCTTCATCTTTCTTTAACCATCTCTCACCTTCTTTTGGTTTGTCGTCAATGGAACGAATGACATCGTTAGCTTTGCGAACTTGTTCTATAGCACTTTTAAACATCTCTCTTCTCTGTTGTTTCAGTGTGTCGTCTCTTCTTCTTGTTTCACCAACGTTTGCATTTGTTATGTCAAACATCTCACGCCTTACTTCATGAGGTATTGAACGTCTATGATATAAGTCAATAGCAACGTCATTTAAAGGAAATGCTATTGCATGGACTTCGTCCTCGCCGCGTTGCGGCTTTATGAACTCATGAATTCTATCATAACTTATTGCACCATTATAGTCTTTAATGAAGTCAGCGAGTGCTTTTTTGTTTGTTGCGTAATGCTTTGCTACTTCTATATTAGCTTCTGTAAGAAGTTGTTTTATTTCCGAGTGTTCTAACTTAGACAACTTCCGATACATCTTTAGTAGGAAATAAAAAAATATTTTTTTGAAAAATTAGATTAGATTTTTTTTAAGTTATTTTTCAAAATAATTTAATATTTTTATTTTAATGAAACACATGCAAGATTGCAAGTTCTTTTCATACAATGCTCTCGCTACTGCCATCAAGAATGAGTTCAATGGTGCTTCAAACGTTAATGTTATCTTTAACAAGAAGTTTGTGAAAGAATCTAAGTTTGGTCAGTATGTCAGACCATTAGCTATTGTCATTGACCGCAAACGTTATACTTCACAAGAGTTAGCAGTAGTTTTGAAACAAAAGAGTATCTTCGTGAATGTCAAAGATACTCATTATACTGTTATAAAGAACTCTAACATTGACTTCTTCAGTATTGCTATGAATCTTTCCGAACAGAAAGAATATAAGAAGGGTGAAACAAATGTGAAATATTATCCTTCATCTCTGAAGACAATAACGAACAAAGATGTTATACAGAAATTCTTACCAAAGGTTGAAGAAGCTTCAATTGACATTGACGAAGGAAGTGAAATGGTTGAAGAAATTGACCCTGAAGCTATTTAAGCAAAAATATATTTTTGGTGAAGAGGTGAGATATCACCTGTTTTTTCACCTCATTCTCTCTTCGTTAATGTTGTCGTGACTTCTTCGTTAATGTTGTCGTGACTTCATTCTTCCTCTTTGAAGTTATCGAAATATTCTGTTATTTTTTCCTTTAACAATGGTAAGTCTTCTTTGAATGTAAGTATTGTGCAACCTTTGATGTCATAGTGTGTTTGAGGAAGAGTACTTTTGACAATTTCCTTTATTTGCTCATTCGGTGTCATTGAAATCGGTAAGTTTTCACGATAGAACCAGTTTCTGTCAGATTTGTAAATCTTAGCAAGGTCATAAAAGCTTTTGTTGTTTCTTCTGACTAAATGCAACATAACCATATCTCTGTCTTCTTCTTTCTCCAACTCTTCAGTATATATCATATACTTATAACTCTTTTCCTTTCCTTTTGGTACTGAACGCGGTATTCTTTTCTGTATGCTTTTGTCTTTGGATTCAATGACTTCATCTTTTGCTTGAAGTTTCTTTTCCAGCTCTCCACGTTCTGCTTTATATAGTTCATCTAACATCATGAAAATATAACAAGCATAACGAGGTGAAGCCCACATTGCAACTGCATTTACTAAAAGTCTATGAACATAATATCCTCTCAAACCGTTTGGCAATTTTTCACGGTTTTCATAGAGTTTTGGCGACTGGGATTTTTTACCTACTCGCTGTTCTTCACTGTTTTCAGAAAAAAGTACGTCTCGCTGTGCTTCACTTAATAGTTCTATGGTGCTTTGGTTCCTAAACCAGTCTTTAGGAAGCTTAGTATCTGGAGCAAAACAAGCCGTCAAAATACTTTGCATTTGGTACATGTCATCTTTGACTGAACGAATGAGACGTAACTGTTTGTTATATTGTATGTACTCGTATTCTTCATTTATAGCTTCATGGACTATAACTGTTGTTGTGTTCTCTAATGTTGACATTACTGTCTTTACATACAAAATAAAAAAATAAATAAAAATAAAAACTAACTTTATTTTTTCTGAGATAAACACTATTTCTTCACAACATTAAATTTTATCCTGTATGAAATGACTTTAAAAAGATTATTGACTGACTTCGAATACTATCTCATTGACGCACTGACAGACCCTCAAAACTGTGTTGAAAGTTCTTTAAGCTTTAAGATTGAAGGTACGACGCATTTTGTCTTCACTTACGTATTGAAAGAATATGACCGTTATCATAACGAAGTGAATCAAACACTAATAAAATTTGTAGATAAAAATTGGTTAACAATGAATATTTTAAACGTGAAGACCCAAACACTGCTGGAGATGATGAAGAATACAGACAAGTTATTGAAAAAAATAACGCAAGATTAGATGCAATAGAAAAGAAGTTTAATGAATGTCTTACAAACACGTATGAATATCTTATGCAGTGGGAAGCTAGATGGAAATAAATTTACGTCAAATATGCAATTTATAAAATCTTATGTCGACAGGCTACGTAGCACAGTGGTCTAAGGTGGTGTTATGGAGGGGTCAGAGTCTGTGGTTCGAACCGCGACAGCGCCGTATTTTCTTATTTTCTTTGTTTGTCTTGTTTGTCGTGAATAAAAGTGTCATAAAAGTGCTCTATCTTCCACGGGAATAAATAAAAAATTTACTTTATTTCTTCTTTATTTCTTTGTTCCCGTGGAAGAAGGGTTTTTGCCGTTTTTTCTCAGCCGAAATCAACGATTTTTTCATTTTTGGAATCCTTAGCGAATGAGGAATCTTTTCTCTCGTGGAAGCTTTGACCAAAAATATAATTTAGGTGAAGAGGTGAGATATCACCTGTTTTTTCACCTAATTTTTCACCCTCAGCCGCTAAGCGGCGAGACCCAAAGGGTCTTGACTTTGTCATAACTTCTTCGTAAATGCTTTGTCATGACTTCTTCGTAAATGCTTTGTCATAACTTCTTCGTAAATGCTTTGTCATAACTTCTTCGTAAATGAGTGTAAATGACCAAAAATATATTATAGGTGAAGAGGTGAGATATCACCTGTTTTTTCACCTGTTTTCTCACCCTAGTTATTTTATAAGCGTTTTACATGAATTGTACGATGTATATTTGAAATCTTAAACAGTTTTGTAGCTTCTATTTCTTCTGTCAGTACATCGAATGTTTTAACAATGCCGAAAGTCTCTTTATATTTCTTCTTGACGTCAGATAGAAGGAAATCTTCTGCTGTTGGATAGTTTTTGTTCAGAAATTCTAACATGTTCATTTTATCTTCTGCTGGTTTCTCTACTTCTTTCTTTAAGTCAGCATAGTCGTTTCGCATTCTTTCTATCTCTTTGACGGAGTAGTTATATTTCCTTATTGCTGCTTTACATTTTGAACATTGTGGGTTCATTTTTGCGTTATATTCTGAAACCTTACCTGCTAGAACAACTAAAGCGTCAATGGTTTTCTTTAACTCAAACATAGCGGGTCTTATCTGTTCATTCCATACTTTGCCTCTTCTATCTTTATCTCTTATTTCCCAAACACATTTTGCAACTAACGAAACAAAGTTGTCGTAGGTCTTAAACTCCCCGGATTTATATATGTCAGAAACATTCTTATAAACCATGTCGCAATCTTTGTCCATAACTTTATGGTTGCAATGAAAACCAAGGAATTCATAATTTACTTTACGTATGAACTTCTTTATTTCTACTGAGTCAGTTGGTTTCACTTCAATTTCGTCAAATTCAGGAATAGTGAGTTTTTGTTGTTGGATTTCAGGCAATTTGGGTAAATGGTCAATAATGTCCTGCATTTCATAAAGATATTCTTCATTTTCTTCATCTTTCGCACTACAGTCTAAATTACTTGTTAAAAGTTCTTGCTTTATCTTCTGGATTTTTGTTTCGAAAGTATATGAAGAAGGAATGAAGTTTTTCATCTCTACCAACATTGACGTAGGATTCATAACTAACGAGTTTGGTGCTGTAGTTGTGGACAGAGTCCCGCCGTTCGCGGCTTCTATTGTTGTTGTGCCGATTGTTGAAATCATATCTTTTATACAAAATAAAAAAATAAATAAAATAAAACTAATTTTATTTTTTATTTCATGAAAATTCATGAGGTGAGAAAACAGGTGAAAAAACAGGTGACATCTCACCTCTTCACCTATAATATATTTTTGGTGTAAATTTATGACAAAAATAAATGGTACCATTAATAATACATGACTGTTCTCATTCATGTCTGATTTACATCTAATGAAAAAGTTTAGAAGAATTTTCTTATTCTTTCTGGCATGTTTTTGTCTTTCCAATACTCCCGCTCTAATGGTCCCAGATGAGTTGGTTTAGATTCTCTCAAGTTCTTAGATGGTATAACATCTTCAACGCCTCCTTCATATCTTACTTTATAAGTGTCATCGTTTATGTTGTAGTCAAGTATTTCAATAACCACTCCTCGCTTTGCTTCGTCAATGGTTTCAGCAAGTTTGCCATTACTACTTTCGACTAATTTATGACGAGGGTAAAATGCTATGGAGTCGTCAGCAGCTTTTATAAGATATCCATTACCTTGCGTAGAGTCTACGATATAATAATTTCGACTTAACCTTAAACGTTTCTTTGTCAACGGTTTGTCGTCAAGAACTACACGAACTTTTGTTCCAGGAATGAGAGTAAATTGTGTTGAATTTCTGATATTTTGTGTTTGACTTCGTTTCTTTTGTATATACTTTTCTTCTTGTTGTTGTGTCATTGAATTTGGTGTATGTCCTGTTGTAGAATGTGTTGAGGAATTGTAAACTTCGATGAAATGTTTCATTGTTTCTTCGGTAAAGTCTCGCTCTTGATTTAAATCTCTGAGAGTCCTTATGAAGCGGTTAATGATACCGAGTATGTTATGGTTATGGTCTTCAGTAGTGTAGTGAGTTATGTTATGCTTAATGAGAAATTCTGTGATTTCGTTGCTGAGGTATGCACCGTCTTGGTCTGATGTTAAAATACTTGGGCTATGTTCTGCTACAAACTTTTGTAAAACTCTTAACACTTCATGAGTTCCTTTATTTCTCATTATATACGCAAAAGCTTTGCGAGTGTTAACATTAATGAAGATGAGGAATGGTTTATGTCCTCCTTTTCTGCTTTGAATGAGAGTGTCAAATTGGTATGCGTCAGGAGTGTTGGAGTAAATTGGTAAAAAGTAGTCGTAAGGATTTATTTTTGTTTGATGTACAACATTTTTGTCAAAGAACCTTTTCACTTCAGCTCTGTTAGTAAATCCCGAACTCTTTGCAGCTTCATTGAACTTCTTAAATGACCTCCATGGATGTTGTTCGAATACTTCTTTCAAGCTCATTTATGTAAAAATAAAGATTTTATTCTAGGCTCAAGTGCGTTCATTGAACGCGGTACCATGCAAATACAGTCACAAATGGTGGCATGTAATCTGCACCCGAGCCTGTTGGATTTGTTGTGAAAGTATGGGCATGATTTCCTGCGGTTCCACAGAAAATACCTGCGCTTGAATCTACTGGGTCACTTGAAATATCATATCTATGCATTCCCTGTCTATCCGAACCTGCTGCAAGATTTGTATAACCTCTTTTTGTTATTGAATGTGAATGACTACCTGTTGTGTTTGTAGTTCCTGTATGAGTGTGCGGTGGAAGGTTTGCTTCAGTAATTTTCTTCGAACCTCCTGTTTGCTTTGAAGAGTTAGCACAGTATAAGAATTTGTCTACAATCTGCTTCCATGTACCAAAACCTAAAACTGTTGCTGGATTTGTTGAGTTCATTGACGTATAAATAGAGCCTATAGGATATAATGTTTGAAGTATTTCTGTCTTTAATGTTTGAAGCTCTGTTTTGTCTGCTTTCTTGTCATATAAATCTTGAGCAGTGAATTTAATATTATGTTCATCCTTCATGACATAAACATCTTTACATCTAATGTTTTTCATCGTCGTTATGTCGTCATCCGATGTTAAACCTTGTGGAAAGTTAGGAGGTTTACAATATAATGCATCCCCACCAGTTTCTTCAACCGTTCCTTCAATACTTTCTATAGCAACAGTTGTAAAACTTGTATGTGTATGAGTCTTATTTGCTTTTTTATCTAACATTGCTGGTAGTTCATGTGTTTCAAAGTTTCTGACATGACCTTCGATATTCATACATTTACTATTTAAGGAGTTTAGTGTATCTTTTACGCTTGTACTTGGATTCTCTAAAGGTGCACTTGAACCAAGGGTATAGTTCAATATTATGTCGTCTGCTCTAACAGTTAGAGAAGGAGTTATGTGTATGTTTTGTCAGCTTATTATTTAATGTAGCTTGAAGTTCATTTATATCGGAGATATTGTGTTTATGAGATTTCAAAACTTTGTTCATTGCTTCGAGTTCAACTTTGTCAGCTTTACTTTTAATAGCATCTTCAAACGTTATTTTTGACTTAACTCTCAAAGTAAATCTTGGTTCAACTAATACACCGTTAACATTGAAAGTAGAGGCATAAATTTCACCGGTATAACCAAATGCTTCTGGTGCTTTAGCTACATCATACTGTACAGTACAGCTTATGTCATAACCTTTAGCACGAATGTATTTATATCTTCTTTCATTAACATTTTTTGTCTTCGCTTCATCACTTCGTGTTAAATATCCATGGTAGTCCGTTATAATCTGTTCGTCTGAAGTTATATAATGAACATGGTTCTTGTCCGCTTTACTATTTAATGTAGCTTGAAGTTCATTTATATCGGAGATATTGTGTTTATGTTCTTTATCTGCTTTTTCGGCTAATTTCTCTTCTATCTCATTTATTTCAAGTTCATGCCTACCACCACCTCCCGAAGAAGTATTTTTCTTCAGCTCTTGAAGAACGTCCACTTCGCCATCTTTGGTGTCAATAATGAGACTTTGAGTTAAAACCTTTCCTGTCTTAATGGATGTTTGTAAAACTTCTTCTTCACCGTGTTCGGGGTCATGGTCGTCGTCATATCTTGTGAAATCAGAGATGTTGTCATACATTAAGCATATCTGTCTCAAAAGTTCTGCTATTTGGAATTGGAACGAAAGATATACAGAACTTTCATCATCTCCTAAAGTCAAGTCTGCTTTCTTAAGTATTTCTTGAATGTATGCAATGAGAACAGAGTACCTTGGAAAATATTCGAACAATATTTCATTAGCTGTTGGTTTTGGTGGTTCTTCTGGAGTTTCTGTTGTTTCAGTTCCTTCTGGAGTTTCTGTTGGAGTTTCTGCATCTCTTGACTTCAATGCTCTTGCTCTCAAAGACCTAAATGTTAGAGCACCGGGTTTTACAAAGGACTTTATAAATGCTTTAATAGTTCCTGGTAAGTTATTGTTAGCATTAAGTAAGTTCCTTATGCTTCCATCATGTACGTCCATAGCACTATGTAAAAAATCTATACTTTTCTTGTAGTCAGCAATAGACTGACTGTGATTTTTTAAAGATTTGTCAATACCTTTAAGCCAATCTTCATGCATGTCTGATACTGAGCCAAGAATATCATTTGCTTCCTTTAGTGTATTTTGTGCTTTCGTAAAGTATCCAATCCCGTACGTGCATTGTTTGCTATACGTCTTACAGTATCTATTTGACTCCTTGTTTCTTGCATCCAACCAGATAAAGTTTTAATAGTATCCGAACCATTTGAAATGAAGTTCAAAGCATTTTTAACGTCATTAAAGCTTCTTCACCAAGTACTGCCCATATCTTTCCGATTTGGTATTGAAGAACTCCATATGAAGCAGCTGTTAAACCAGTATTTATAAGGTCCCATATCCATGATTTAGCAGTTTTTCCATCCTTTCCATCCTTTCCATCCAAACCGTTTTCGCCTTGAGGTCCTTGTATTCCTTGAGGTCCTTGTATTCCTTGAGGTCCTTGTATTCCTTGTGGTCCGGTGTCACCCTTCTCTCCTTTCAGTTCATCTTTATGTTCGTTATAATATTCTAATGTCATAAGGTGTACATCATTACTGCTACCAGCAACTCCTAATATTTGTTTCTCATTCATGACTAAATTCTTTAGGCATTTAATGTTGTCGTCAAATCGAAAGCTCTTTAACAATTCAATGAGAACATTCAGTACTTTCACTAATGAGGCATCTACTGTAGAATTTATATATTGCACCGTTCCATCATTTATGATAGGAACTTTACTTATTGTAATGAATGGGTCATAAGTGTTAAAAGTATCGAAATCAATGACTTTTTTAGTTTTTCCATCGTCAATGACTAAATCATTGCCTTCAATGGTTAAAGTTGAGTTTTCGTTTACTAGTTCATGTGCTCTTCTTGCTTCATTTGTTTCATACGCATATGCAGCAATAGTCATATTTTAATGAGAATAAAATGTTGTTCTATTTGCAAAGTACTGACCCAAACGAATACGGAACAGTAAAGCTACAAACAAACTTAGGTCTTCAGAATGAAGCGCTTGCTTTCAGAGTTGTTGACTTCAATACTATCGCAACTTTTGTCATAACAGATGAAACAGATTTCATAGAGTTTGAAATAGATGGAAAGAAGCATGAAATAAGATTTCACAATAATGTAGAATATAAGATGGAAACATTAGCTGGAGTGTTAAATGCGCTCATAAATACTACAATAAACAAGGAGAACGAAGAAAACTTAATGAATGTTAAACTTATTGCAGGAGTTTTGAAGTTCAGTTATGCGAAGGAGTTTAAGATAACACGAATGAGTCATAGAGTTCAATTCTTCTGGGAGCATACCATATGACATTTCCTTTGAAAAGTGTTGACAAAACGATTGAGATGAAATCTGTTCCATACGTATGTTATGGCAATTGTTTATACATTGAGTCTAAAATAGCTAATGTCACAGGTATTTCAGGAGTTAATAGTAAAGGTTCAGTAGAATATAATCCTTCTGTTATGCAGTCAATTCAATGTTCATTCCAAACGTTCCTGTCATAGCAACTCATTTAGGTAAATGGGTTCGCATTAGTCCTCATAATTTGAAAGACATGCAATTCAGACTAGTTGACTTTCAAGGAGAGCCTGTAGAACTGAAGGCACCAGTGCGAATGACTGTTGAAGTTAGACTTTTTAGAAAATATTAAATGCAACAGCTTACAAGAGAACTCAGAGCTAAAAATATAAAGTATGAATGTTATGTATTAGGTCATGAACTTTGGTTGTTGCTGTTTGATGAAACAAATGAGTTAGTTATGTCAGTCAAGAGAACAGAAAAAGGCGTCAAAGGCGCCGAGCGCAAAGCGCTATATTGTGTTAGTGAAAACTGCACCAAGTCAATAAGCACCAAGTCAATAAGATTAGGTTTGCATTATGAAGATGAGTTCGATACTGTTGAAGAAGTTTTGGATAGATACTATAAGTTGCTTTAATTTACTAAAACATATTTCAAACAAAGCTTATAGTCAGTAGATAGTTTTGTATACTCGTTCGAATATTTATACTTAAACTCAACTCCTGTAGTTCCTGGTGTTTCAATGATGCGGATGTTACCTATTTTCATGAATATTGGCGTTTGACCACAGCATTCGATTTCAGGGTCGAGATAGTCAATGACACATTGTTTCCCTGTTATTCGTGATATAACATTTTCAAGGTCCTCCTTTGTTAGAATTATTTGGTTCTTACTTATAAGATTTATCAAAAGCTTCTTATCGTCTTTGAGTAAAATTGTTTGGTATAACTGAAGAAGGTAATGGTCTACGTTATCTGAAGGATTTGTTTGAACATTTATGTAAGGGTTGTCGTTGGCTTCTCTTGAAAGAATTTGGTCCAGTGGTGGATACTCTAACTTAACATCTGATGTAGCGTTAGCGTTTGAAGCTGTGTTTAAATTCACGGATTTCAGCTCTGGTTCTTTTTCTTTCAAACACTCTGAACTATAGTTCTTTATGACAATATTGTTTGTCGTTCGTGAGTCAACATTTGATGTTGGTTCAATTGGAACATTAACGGCACCAGCTAAGATGGATTTGCTTCTCATTTCATATAGAATAAAAACCTTTTATATGTATGAAATGAACAATATACTCGACAAGGGTTTGAATGTAAAGCTAACGAATGAAAATATTGTTGAATTCACTGAGACAGGTGCTGTGTATAAAGATGTAGAACTACTGAACAAAAGAGCTAAGGGAAGAAGCAGGAACATGAACAAAGGGTGGAAGCCTATAAAAATTTATGTCAATGATGGCTCAGGAGGTTCAAACATAAAGTATGCAGAAAGTTATAGAGTTTATGCGCTAAAAGGTGAAAAGCCTTCATTTAAGAACAGCTATTCTAACGCATATCCTCAAAAGTTAACGGATGGGGAAGTGGATGATATGAAATGACAGCAAAAATATTAACAGAAATGGCGACAGAGATGCATGGAATTTGTTTACCATCAGTCAATTGAAGGTTAAACTTTAAAACAATGTTGGTCGTTCCCATGGAATATTTTTGACTTTAATGGTATTAGTCATGATATGAATCTCAAGGTATGAACGAGGAGAGATGAGAGACTTATATGCTTCCCAAATTTCTTCAAAAGGTAATGTTATACCTGACTGTTTCCAAATGAGTTCAATGTCATAACGTGAGAAACCTTGAAAGATAACGAAGTCAGTTATGAGACGTTTTATGTTTAAAGCAAGAAAACGCCATGTTTGCATAAGTATTGCTACAGTTAAGTGGTAATGTCTGACTTTAGTTATGATGTTAGCTAATGGTGAGTCTGGTTTTGACACTAAACCTTTTCCGGCGAAGTCGTCACAAACGAGCAGAGTGTTTGAAGGATACTTTTTGAAGGGGTATTTTGAAAGTTTTGACAGAATGTAGTTTGTCAGTCGTTTCATATCGTAAACTCCTGAGTACTGACGTAAGTGGTGTTTGTCAATAATTCTTTCCATCTCTTCTGAAGTCTTTTGCATTCCTGACTGTATAAATTCAACGATGGCATAATATTTCCTCTTACGTCGAATGTAACGTTGAAGAAATTCAATGAGTTCACTGTCTGGAACTTTAACGACAGAGGCTTGAACTTTTGACATAAATGTTTTCGCTGTTGAGTCCATAGAGTCTGAAGTTGCTGATATAATGATTTGGTCATAATATGAGTCATTTCCTAAACGTTCTGTTATGAGTATATGACGAATGAGGTTAAATGTCTTACCTGAACCCATCTTTCCACAATAGAAATAAACACCATTTGAACAGAACTCATAGTCCTTACTGAAAGGAAGAATGAGAGAAGAGTTAAGTTTGTCTGTAGTTTCATTCATGTCTTCATCTACGTCATGTATTAAATGCTTCATTTTATCTCCATTAAAAATGCAAGTCAGAAATATTCAGAACATAGCACCGAGTCTAACTGACAAGAGTATAAAGATATACTATGAACACGTTATGATGAAACCAACCAAAATTCAAGAAAGTCAGTATACTTATGAATATCCAAGACACTGGGTAGAGTATGTAGGAGGTGAGAAAGCTATTGAAATAAGACAAGTTAGAAGTATTCCAGCAGGAAGGACAATATTATTGAAGAACTTTAATGTTTTGAGATATAATGATGAGACAAAGAAGCAAGATAGTTTTCCTATTGCTGTGTATGTGAACCTAGACACAGGAGATGACATGAAAGTTTTTAACACAAAGCTTCAAACGGTAGTGAGAGAACAACTGACTGCGGAAGGGCATCCATTACCTTCAGAAGTTACCATAGCATATAATTTTGAAACAAACTCAATAGATTTTAAAGTCATCTCTGCAAAGAAGTCAGGTTTTACATTTAATGAAGCAGATGTATATTCGAATGAAAACTTCAAAGCTATTGCATGGTTAGATAATGACGATTGCTTTAAGAAAATATTTAAATTCAGTGACTCAAAGATGTCAATAGATGACCTTCGTGGAATGTTACCATCGACGTTTACAGTAGAAGGTTCAGCAGGATTGCTTACAAGATTGTCAATTGGTGGCATTTGGTCTCGTGAGAACATTGTTATAAAATCCAGTATAAGTGAATTTGCTGAAGAATCTATATTATGTCTTTCAAACTATATGTATTCGCCACCGAAGCATTATAGTATAACAAACTTTGTCAGTAAGTTTAACATAAGACTTGTCGAACCTTCTTCAATGAAAGATGTTGTGCTACCTAAAGATGGAAAGGATGGACTCATTATTGAGATGATTTTAATTGCATATTAAATGAGCTTGTTCTTGAAGGTCATTCATGATGAAATAACTGTTGTAGAAGATGTTAGCAATTGTTCAGACATTTTGAAGCGTATAGATGATATAAGAAAGAAGTTAGATAGACCGCAAAGCGGTGAGGGCGAAGCCCGTGAGAATGTTTATGTTTCATTGACTTTCTCCAGTAAAGAGAACTTTTATGAGATAATATTGAAGAGAGATGATTTTAATATGGTGTAAATGGTAGCTTGGGCAGCTTTAGGCGCAATGGGAACAAAAGCATTAGCATTTGGAGCAAAAGCACTTGGGGCTTATGACGCAGTAAATAAAATGAGTGGAGGAAGAGTTTCGAAGACATTAGATGCAAATAAAGGAAAGATTGGAGGCTGGGTTGCAAAGAAGTTAAGATTAAATAAAATAGGGCTCATAAATAAAGCATCCAATTTGGTTGCGACTGAGTCAGAAAATGCTTTAGGAAAGGACGATGAGTTTGCAAAACATGCAAAAGACTTTAATGACCAGATGAAAGGTGAAACAATGCATTTAAATAGAGTCGATGGAACTAAAGAAAATGTTTCTTCTCCACCAGTAGTTCTTCCGTATGGTCCCTATGGAATGTATGGAAACCCTTACGAAAGACCATTTGACCCATTGACTGGTGGAAGTAACTGGTATCATTACGGACGAAGAAGAAAGACAGTTAAGCTGGAGACAGACGTGAAGAAAGCAACTAAAAAGAAACCAAGAAGAGAGTTATAAAGTAATGAATTCAACAGACCCAAAGGGTCAGAGCCGCTTTGCGGCTAGGGTGAAAAAAGAGGTGAAAAAAGAGGTGAGATTTCACCACTTCACCTAAATTTATTTTTGCGCTATGTTTTCATACGTGTGAGGGTGGTGATATCATTAATTTTTAAGTTTATTTTATTATTTTACTGAAAATTTTTATTTGGATGTAAATGACGAAAACTATTGAGATAACAAACTACAACGGTCATGAGTTCAAGAATTTGTTCTTCGTTCCTCGTGAAAATACATTCTATCAGATACGAGGGAGAAAGGGTAAAGTTAGTTTGAGCGTTTATGAAGGAATGAAGAATGGAAAGTTTATACAAGCATACGATACAAACGGTAAACGTGTTTCATTAGCTTTGTCAAAACTTACTAACATTCATTTTGACAGTGATTTTGACCTATATGAAGAAGAAAGTGAGTCAGAAGATTATGAGCTGTTATGTGAAGCACAGCAATGGGAGGAGTTGCAATACTTTTGTAAGTGAGAACGTTTATTTTTTACATTAGTGAAGTCGTTTGTGAAAACGTTTATTTTTTCATTAGTGAGGTGAAGTGGTTGGCGGCTTTATAAATATTTAAGGTTAAGTTGGTGTTTGTGTTTGTGTTGTAAAATATACATTAACGGTTTCGTAAAGTGTCAAAACCGCTAAGTTGTGTACGGAGGCGCGCAGTGCCACAGTACACGACTTAGGTATACTAACTGCAACTTTGAAGGAAGAAATAAAACTTTCACTTCAAACATTAAAGGTTAAAATATCTACTTCATATGCTGACCAACAAAAAGAATTGCTTACTATTATGGAGAAAGTTAGTCACCTCGAAAAAATAGTTATACCACTTGTCCAAATGGTTCAAATGTTCTACTGTGATATTGATGAAATCCGTGAAGCTCTTAAGATTCAAATCCCAAACCAAGTTGCAGTTGAAGAGAAAAAGGGGAAAGAGATGGAAGAAGCAATGGAAGAAGAGGAAGAAGAAGAAATTGCACAAATTGCAATTACGGAAGAAGAGGAACAAGAAGAGGAAGAAGAGGAATAAGAAAAGAGAGACATTGTTGAAACCTGGGAAGAACTCAAGCTTGACAACACTTACGAAATTTCTTCGAATTACCCTTACAGAGTTCGCAACAAAACAACCAAAAAGGTTCTCAAACCATTCCTCAACAATGTTGGACACTACAACCTCAACCTTACCAAGTTTGGTACCGCTTCAATGGGAAAAATTGTTGCCTCTCAATGGGTCCAAAACCCACAAAAGAAGACAAGAGTTAAGCACATTGATGGAAACAACAAGAACAACAGGGTTTCCAACTTGGAATGGTACTAAAACATTCTAAACACTAAACAACAACATTTTACACAAATTTAATTTTTCACTTTTTCTGACATCCCAAAAATTTTTGAAACAGTCAATGACTGACTGACTGACTGTACTAATGCATTAAATAACTAATTTAATTTCCAAATAAAAAGATTTTTTAACATATTTAAAAATGAGTAAATTTTTCACTACATTCGAAAATTATTTAATAAATGAATTTATTGCTCCAGAAAATAATGTTAAAAGTATTTTGAAAAATTTTATTGAAAATAGAGAAATAGTAATTCAATACGAATTAGAAGAATATGACAGATATCAATGTTTCCTTAGAAATTATACTTTTAAATTTAAAGGAAATAAATTAGTTGACTTGGATTCTGAACTACAAAAGCTAACTCAAGAAAAAATAAATAATATAGAAAATGTATTTAAACAATGTTTAATAAATACTTATGAAACAATTTTAAAAGATTTAATAGGTCGGTCAGTCAGTCAATGACCTAAAAATAAATTTATTTTTTATAAAACTTCAGGGTCAATTTCTTCAACCATTTCACTACCTTCTTCATCAAATTCAATATTTGCTTCTTCAACTTTTGGTATGAATTTTTGAATAATATTTTTATTCGTAATTGTCTTCAGAGATGAAGGGTAATATTTAAATACTGTTTCTCCTTTCTTATATTCTTTTTGTTCAGATAAATTTAATGCAATACAGTTAGTATCCCTAACTTGGGTACTGTGGCACTGCGTTCCACCTTACCCAAGTTAACGGTTTGACACTTTACAAAACCGGTAACGTATATTTTACAATACAACCATAACACCAACTTAACCTTAAATATTTACAAAACCATCTGACACATAAACGACTTCACTAATGACTTCACTAACGACTTCACTAACGAATTCACTACCGTCCTCACTAAATAAAAAATAACCTTATTTTTATTTTTTTTAATTTTTTATTTCATTACAAAGACATGTCTGACTACATTTACTATGACTCTTTCCCAGAACGTTTCCGTGAACTATTCAAAACTCAAGTAAAACTGAGAAACATGCATTTTAACAAAGACAGACCCATTGACGATGAAAGAAACCCTGAATATATTACAATCCCATATGACGCAAAGTTCATTGCATACATTCCTTATGGTCGCAGAGGAACGAAAACTATTTCAACAAAGAACAAAAATTATTTCTGGAGCGATGAAGAAAATTGCCTTATCTACATAAATGCATACTTAAATAAAGCTACATATTGTACAAAAGAAGGTTGGACTGGATTTGAGCTCTACATATACGACGACGATGGAAACAGACGTTGTGTATACCCATACGATAATATGTACCATTGTTTTCATCAAGCATTAAACGAATACATAGTCAGTAAGGGTCTCATTCCTGTTGAGTAGATATGCTTTATTTTTGTTCTGTCATTTATATAAAAATAAACTTAAAAATAAACTTAAAAATTAATGATATCACCACTCCCACACGTATGAAAACATAGCACAAAAATAAATTTAGGTGAAGTGGTGAGATCTCACCTCTTTTTTCACCCGGTTTTCTACCCTGTTGAATTCATTGCTTTATAACTCTCTTCCTTTCTCCAACTCTTCTAACTTCTTCTTAAGTTCAGCAATGTTGTCCTCATGAAGTTTAATCTTTCTCAAAATTCCTTCTTTATCTAATGATTGCTTTATCTTTCTAAACTGAACTCTACCATCCTTCATAGTATGAATGTAAAAACCTTCTGGAATAGTTCCTGATTTAATGTATTCTACCAAAAACTTTTGTTTCATTGCTTCAGTGACTTTAGTCGTCATTTCAATCAAATAAAAATTTTAATATTAAATAAAAATAACGTTATTTTTTTCAGTAAGGAAACGCAGGAGTTTTACGATTTATTTGAGGAGTAGGTTCTGGTTTAAATGTTGGAGTCGGTTTAGGAGTTGACTTTTGAATAGGAGTTTGTACTTCCATAGGTTCAGGAGTCATTGAAGGTTTTGCTTGTGAAGGCGTTGGTTTTGACGTTGGTTTTGGCGAAGGTGTTGGAGTTTGTTTAACTTCAGCTACTTCAGTATTATTTACAACATTTGCTTTATTTCTTTTCAACATCATAACTGCTCCTGCTGTAGCTAGCAAACCTAGTGGGAGACCATATCTTATATAAGGACTTGACCAAATGCTATTTTTGACAGGAGCTGGTGGAACACCTAACCTTGGTGAGACTGCTCTTTGCCATTGTGCAGCTCATAAGAAATATTCAATAGGTGCTCCATAATCGTTTGGTAAAGTTTGTTTCATAGATGGTGAAGGTTCACGAGAGCTTGATGAAGAACTCATTTATAAGCTTTAAAATAAACGTTCATCCTTTATTCCTCACTGTCGTCCGCAGCTAAGTTATAGTCATCTAATCTTATTATTGGGATTCCATTAGCACGCACCTGAATGGCAAAGCAACAATCCCTCATAAATCCAATAAGTGGCTTTGGTACATTTTCAGTTGCTAGTTCAATAGGTCCTTTAACAGACAATTTGTATGTTATTGGAGCAGTAGATGTTTGACCTTGCTGGAAGCAAAAGTCCACTTCTGTTGGAAAACCACATAAGAAATGTGTGTTGTCATAGCTATCCCATTTATGTTCCACACTACCATCATCCACCAATGACCTCATAACATCTTCATTAAATCCAATCATATCATTGTTTGTATTGCAAGCGTTCGCAACCATTTCATAAAATACAGGTCCATATGATTTTTCGGGTTCTGCAGGCATATTTCCATAAGCTCCCATGGAAAGCTGAAGATATTTAAACTTAGGGTTCTCAAAATTAACATAATAGTTGTCTTTCTTTCTAAATAGTGCCCAAATACTTTTAACATTAATAGGCGTATAAGCTGCTGTAAATGTTGCACTTGAACTATCTGTATTCTTTGAGAATGAACCGTCCATAGGAATACAATCCATAACTTTAACAGGAAAACATAAAGCCTCGTTTGTATAATGTTCTACAAGTTCTGTATAAATGTTAGGGTCTAAAGAGAATGACTTTGGATGAATGAAACATTCATTAAAATCCATCTTTGTTCGAAATAGTTGCTGGGTTACAGTTGTAATAGTAACTGTTCCACTAGCTTCTACTGACTTCGTTATCATAGTGAATGGTTCATTCCATGGAACAAATTTATTTGTCGGTGGATTTGAATCTGAAGCAAATGCAACTTTAAGAGTTGGATTGAAAGCAATGATATCATTTACAGATATAGATGTGCATTGTAAGGCGTCGCTACTGAACTTTACTTTAAGCTGAATGTTACCACCAAATGCAGGAATAAATCGAATAGCTTCTAATGGAAGGAATCTTCTAACAGGAATTCTTAAACGAAGCTTAAAATCAAATAATTTTCCTGCTGTAATTGGACCACTAACAATTTGTCCTGTTCTGCATGTTCCCGAATGACTCCATACATCTTCATGTCAAGTCTTTGAGAAAACATCTACTTTCTTTATTTGTTCGGTAGTTTGTGAGTTTGAAGTTATATATGCTTCTTCTCTTGCGTTGTCTTGAGAATATACGATACGACCATTTGCAAGGATTTGATATCCAGCAACTGCATAGAAAGCGTCATCGAAACCAATCCAAAATCCTGGTGGGTTTGTTTTATTGGAACCTGAACCAATTTCTTTATCTACAATAAATTGACCTTCCATTTTATACGTAATGAATGTATTGTAAAGGTCCAACATATTTTCACCAGGAGGTGAGAGATTGAATGTTACCCATGTGTTATCTTTAGCAGTTCCAGGTTGTGATGGTATCTTTGCGTCAGAATATTTTCTATTAGTGTCACCAATTTGAACTGCATTGTCTATGATATCGAAATATGAGCGAATCTGATGAATATGCTCTGCTGGAGTAAATTCGTTTAGCTGTTCGTTCTGCATGTATTTACTTCAGATAAAAATATCTATTTACTTCATTATTCTCACTCTTCTTCTTGGCATTCGTGGTGGAAGTTGTTTCTTGACATTTTCAATGAACTGTACATTCTCTTTTGTCTCAACTTCTTTCACTGGTGGGTCAGGGTTCTTTGACTCGGTTTGCTTTTCAATGAAATTCACGAACTTTGCAATAAGCTCTTGGTTCGTTATTGAAAGAACATCTGGCTTCTTTTCTTCTGGTTCTATTGACTTTTCAGTTTGAATAGAAGGTTTTATATGGGCTTCGCCCTCGGTGCCATGCACCTTAATGTTGTCGCTCTCTGTATTCGCTAATGGAACCTTTCTTTTTCTTACATATATTTTACCATCTTTACTCTGACTTACGTAATAGAAAGGATGTTGTATTCCTCTGGCGTCATTTAATATAATAGACTCTCGTTCTGATTTTGACAAGCTCATTTTACATCGGTTAAAGTTTTAATTTTGTTTTTTATCTGCAGTCAAATGACTCAGACAAGCCCTACGGACAAGACCCAAGGGGTCATAGATGTTGAAGCATTGAAGAAAGAAATTCGTGAGCAAATTTTATCCGAACTGAAGGAACAAAAACAAGAACAAAAGCCAGAGAGACCAAAGAGAAAACTTAGTGAAAAACAACTTGCTGCATTAGCTGCTGGAAGACAAAAGAACCCACGTTTGCTGGCGAAGAAAGCTAGAGAAGAAGCTGAAGCAAAGAAAGAGTAAATGTGTTATTTTTATCGGAACTAAATGTATAGACAAATACCTTTATCTGTTGCGTTCAGTAGTGAAAACCCTGACGTCAAAATAAAGGGGAACAGAGTAACGTTTAAGTTTCCAACAGACTGGATTGTGAACATAAATGAAGAGAAGTACATTGGCATAACATCTATGTATATAACACGTGCTTTCAGAAAGGTTGACTTTATACTTCAAGTCGAGATAGAAAATGACGAACAGTCTTTAAGCGCCCAAAACATTCACATATACAAATACTTTAAAGACGATACAACATTGTTGCAATGTATGATTTCATTTAATGAGATGTTCGAGAAAAAGTTTAACATTGAAGTACAAACTTTACAGCCTTTACGTGAGTTTCTTGCACAACTGAAAGAAGAAGGTAGTCAGCCACAACTTATAGACTTTCATTATGAATTTAATGAAAATGAAGATGGAACACATGACGGTCAGTTTGTTGTATTCTCACCATTCAATGAAGTCGCTAAAGAGAAAGAAAATCCATTACGTATAAGATTTCAAATCTCTGAACCAAGTGATGATTTCAAGAATGTTTTCAATTATGATGCAATGATTCCGAGGAAAAATGAATTTTCAAAGATTGTAACACCTGACATTTGGGATAGAAAGCAAGCTATATTATATTCAAACTTAAGTAAGGGAGTTGAAAATGAGTTCATTGGTCATACAAGAAATTCACCATTACCAAATCCTAAATACTATAAATTAACTGGCTTCAATCGTGAGTTTTGGATAGACATGTACTCAACTCACGACCATAAATGTCCAGTGTTCTTGCCTCCAGATGGGAAGGACTGTCTCTACATTGAAGCACAACTCTTAAACTCTACCATCACAGTATTGTAAAATCTACGCTAGCTTTATTTTTATCACGAATGACCTCATTGCTGACAAAAATAAATGACCTCAGAACTTCAACTTACGAATAAAGCTTGTTTTATTCGTTATTGAGAAGTTAAACTTTTCAGCAAAGCAAGGACTAGAAGACTTACATAAGTCAAATCCAATCTCTTGACCGTCATAAAGTGCTTTATATAACTTCATAACACTGAACTCAGAGTCTTTGTCATATGTTCCAACAGGTATGTGAATGTTCTTATCTTCATTGTAATAGCATTGTATAGCTTCAGGAAACATTTCATTAGCTGTTAAAGCAAGGACGTCTTGTTTGACACCTTTGCAACGTGCATGAAATGCAACTTCATTTAAATCATTCGTGAGTAAGTCTATGTAAGTCTTCTTTCCACAAAATATTGACTTGTATGCTAAACTTTGTTTTCCAGGTGTTATTTCTGCGAAGTCAGAATGAAATTGACCAAGGTTCTTTCCTATAAGTTCTCTACCGTATCTCTTCTTAAACTCTGCTGCAAGCTTTGGTATGTCTTCATTGAAAATATGCATGCTATCGCAGTCCTGGTAAAATATTTGAAGTCCCATATCTTCAGCAGTACAGAATACTTCACACATTATTCTCTTCGACATAGACAGAATGTTAACACCAAGTGGACAGAAGTTAAAGTGTCTGCAAATGCTTTTCGTTAGCTTGAAAATAGTTTTATCTGAACCATCCAAACCTTCGAACTTCACTATATGGTTGTAGTTTCTGATGGCATATCTTATAGCATCTTTGTCATCTACTATGGTTATTTTTGACTCAATAGGAGATAGAATAGTTTTGCCATAAATACTGTTCAGAATGAGCTTTATATTTTCTTGCAAAGGATTTCCTTCTTTCTTATACTTTAACCTTAACTCAAACAACTTCTTTACTTCATCTCTTATTCTAATATCTCTGTTTCCATCGTAGTAGTATCCTTGCAACACTTCACATTTGACACCTTGATATTTTATGAGGTCTTGTAATGTTATATGGTCAACATACATTAAACAGCAAGTGTTTGAACTTCTGGGAACGTTAAGTTCTGGATTTAGTTCAGGGTCACAAACTATTAAAGGAAAGTGTCTATGTATTCCAATCTCTGTTATCTTAATGAGAGCAAAGAAGCCAGGCATAAACTTTTCACCAATGGGTTCCTTTTGGTCGTCATCGAATAAATGTCTCATGAGATACTCTGTGCTTAGCATCTCATCCTTCATAACCTTTGGAATTCCTTCTAAAGTATAAAGTCTTGCTATAGCTGATGGATATAATGAAACAGCGTCGAAGTCAGCAATGAGTTTCTTTTCGCTCTTTTGTTTCATGTTATCTGACAACATACATCTTCCACCTTGAATGCATCTCGAAATAAATTCTCTTGGTTTATTTGAGAGGTCATATAAATTTCCATTCGGGAAGTACACTCTGTTCTCAAATAATTTGTTAGCAATTGAACAAATACTAACGTAGTCATAAACGTTTAAATCAAATTCTTTTAATATGTCATTGCGGAACTTAACAAAACCTTCTCTTAAAATTCTTACATCTTGTTTGCAATAAAATGAGCTATATTTTTCTAAATCGAAATGGTTTTCATCTATTCTGCAACCTTTGATGGAATCTATGTTTTTCATAAATGTATCTGCATCCCGGATAAACTTACATGCTTCAGAAATGACACCGGTTCTGTTGTCATTTGCTAACAAAACACTGCTGTAGTAGTTGTATGGAAATACTTCTTTCGGTCCTGTTTGTAAGTTAAACATAGCAGGAAATAGTTTAAGCTTCTTATTTATAACACTGTAAGAGTCTTTTATAATAATTGCCCGTCCTTTATATAAACCAGTTATTTGCATTGTTCGTGAACCTTTAATGATGGGAGTTCCTTTCACTTCTGTCATGTGTCTTAAGATGAAGTTTATGTCATAGCTGAGGTTGTGAAAATATACTAAACTCTTGTCAGGAAGTCGTTCCAAAAATTCTGTTGCACAGTTTTGACCCCATATGCTTTCACTCACTGAACCATCTTCACTGTCGTAACATATGTTAAAAGCTTTATGAAAGCCATCGGTACTGCACTCAAAGTCAGCAAAGAAAACATGCTCAGGAATGAACTTGCACTTATTTTTATTTACTTCTTTTGACTCGGCTTTCTTCTTCAGTTGTACACAATACTTTGGAGCATATGTCAAATCTTTAAATGGTGCAAGGTTCTGTTTATATAAGTCAGTCGTATATGTGAAAAGTTCTCCATAAGAAATAGGTTCGAAATATTTGCACTCCCACAATGTTTTCATAACATCCCATAACGGTGTTGTTCTATCATAACGAACTACATATTTATCTTCTCTCTTTGTATAAATCTTCATTTGTTTCTCAATGTTCATTCCACCACAAGCTTTGAGAATTTCTTTATAATTTATGATAAAATATGTTGTCATTGGTAATCTTTCATTTAGCATGTAGTGGTCTTCAACAAGAAGTAAGTCAATAGTTCGAACAGTTTCACATTCTTTTGGTATATATCTCTTTATTTCATTATGTCTTGAGTCATTGAAATAACCAATGGTAACATTAAATGCTATACCAGTTGCGTCAGAAATTTCTTGTACTTTACTTTGAGGAAAGTCTCTAACACGAATGACTTCTCTCATGTGGTCAATAGTTTCTTCATTTACTCCAGCCTGAATGCAAGCATAAACGAAGCAGTTATCTTCTGTCATAAGTGTTGCAGTTCTTTTGTTCAGTTCATTGAAGATTTGGTAGCGTTAAAGATTTATAGGTAATGTGCAAAGATACTTCCAGAACTGACCGCTTCTCTTCTTATAAAACTTCTTTTCACCATTATCTTTCCAAAAGCTTTCTATAAGTGCTGGGTTTCCTGTTTGCTTAAGAGCTTCCAAAATGGCTTTCTGGTCATTTGTCAGTGTGCTTTCATCTCTATATGGTCTCTTTTTTGGTTTGCCTTTCTTTACATCTGACATCGTTAAGCCTTCATATTCTGTTAAATCATACATCTTTATTTCAGTAAGATTCTTTATGTTTGTCAAGAAGAAGTCATAGTGCATTTCAACAATACCTGCGGCATTTGCTTCTATCTCTGATATAAAGTTCTCCTTCAAGAGCTGATGTAGTAATGTTCCAATATTATTGAGGTTTAACGTAGAACATTCATACTTTCCACCAAGTTTATAACATACCATCCATCTTTGTTGGGAGTTTATTTTAATCTTCTCTAAGAGTCTCATGAAAACCTTACCGAAATGTTTGTGTAAATATTCTCTGTTTGGTTCATCTAAAGCTTCGATGTTAAAGTCAATGAGTCTATTGCCTGACTTCACATTTCTCTTCCTATTCTCTTCATCTTTCTTTAACCATCTCTCACCTTCTTTTGGTTTGTCGTCAATGGAACGAATGACATCGTTAGCTTTGCGAACTTGTTCTACAGCGCTCTTAAACATCTCTCTTCTCTGTTGTTTCAGTGTGTCGTCTCTTCTTCTTGTTTCACCAACGTTTGCATTTGTTATGTCAAACATTTCTCTTCTTACTTCATGAGGTACTGAACGTCTATGATATAAGTCAATAGCAACGTCATTTAACGGAAATGCTCTTGCATGGACTTCGTTCTCGCCGTGTTGCGGCTTTATGAACTCATGAATTCTATCATAACTTATTGCACCATTATAGTCATTGAGGATGTCAGCGAGTGCTTTTTTGTTTGTTGCGTAATGCTTTGCAACATCTATATTAGCTTCTGTAAGAAGTTGTTTTATTTCCGAGTGTTCTAACTTAGACAACTTCCGATACATCTTTAGTAGGAAATAAAAAAATATTTTTTTGAAAAAATTAGATTAGATTTTTTTAAGTTATTTTTCAAAATAATTTAATATTTTTATTTTAATGAAACACATGCAAGATTGCAAGTTCTTTTCATACAATGCTCTCGCTACTGCCATCAAGAATGAGTTCAATAATGCTTCAAATGTTAATGTTATCTTTAACAAGAAGTTTGTGAAAGAATCTAAGTTTGGTCAGTATGTCAGACCATTAGCTATCGTCATTGACCGCAAACGTTATACTTCACAAGAGTTAGCAGTAGTTTTGAAACAAAAGAGTTTCTTCGTGAATGTCAAAGATACTCATTATACTGTCATAAAGAACTCTAACATTGACTTCTTCAGTATTGCTTTTAAATTCTTTCCGAACAGAAAGAATATAAGAAGGGTGAAACATCTGTGAAATATTATCCTTCATCTCTGAAGACAATAACGAACAAAGATGTTATACAGAAATCTTACCAAAGGTTGAAGAAGCTTCTATTTGACATTGACGAAGAAAGTGAAATGGTTGAAGAAATTGACCCTGACGTCATTTAAGCAAAAATATATTTTTGGTTAGTCTTCATATCGATATTTTACAACAATTCCCCAATGTATAAACTTTTTCATACGCTTTTTTCATAAGCTTTATATACCTTCAGAAATTTTGCATAATCTTTAGAAGCATTTAGATATTGTTTAAATGCTTTGTATGTCTTCAGAAATTTTGCATAATCTTTTTACATGTTGTTCGTTCTCTTCTTCTGTCATGAGTTCCGAATATTCTAAATTCATGTTCTTTCATATGAGATAAAATTTATTAAAAAAAAATAAAATTAGCTTAGATTTTTTTTATTCTTCCTCTTTTGAAGTTATCGAAATATTCTGTTATTTTTTCCTTGAGTAATGTTAAGTCTTCTTTGAATGTAAGTATTGTGCAACCTTTGATGTCATAGTGTGTTTGAGGAAGAGTATTTTTGACAATTTCCTTTATTTGCTCATTCGGTGTCATTGAAATCGGTAAGTTTTCACGATAGAACCAGTTTCTATCAGATTTATATATCTTAGCTAAGTCATAAAAGCTCTTGTTGTTTCTTCTCACTAAATGCAACATAACCATATCTTTATCTTCTTCATTTTCCATCTCTTCAGTATATATTCATATACTTATAACTCTTTCCTTTTCCTTTTGGTACCGAACGCGGTATTCTTTTCTGTATGCTTTTGTCTTTGGATTCAATGACTTCATCTTTTGCTTGAAGTTTCTTTTCCATCTCTCCACGTTCTGCTTTATATAGTTCATCTAACATCATGAAAATATAACAAGCATAACGAGGTGAAGCCCACATTGCTACAGCATTTACTAAAAGTCTATGAATATAATAACCTTTCAAACCAGGAGCCAAATTCTTGCGATTTTCGTACGGAATCTCTTCCCCCGGTTTTCCGAGGGAAGCAATCATATGAGGAAATTCTTCTAAAAGTTCTTTTGTCTGTTGGTTTTCAAACCAATGATATGCTTGCTTTGTAGAACGAAGAGCGTTCATTATACTTTGCATCTGGTACATATCGTCTTTGACCGAACGAATGAGGCGTAACTGTTTGTTATACTGTTGTTGACATTACTGTTTCTTATATACAGGATAAAAAAATATTTTATAAAAAACTAACTTTATTTTTTCTGTCTTAAGGAAATGTTAAAAATTCATGGTTACATATGTGAAAAGAAGTCACGAACAAATGAAGGTCATAAGATTCAGCACATAATTCTGAATTGAATGGTGTGTCATACATGTCAAACAGTCAAGAATTGAAGGAGATACGAGGCTATAAAGATTTTGGATATTTTCTGACACACACCCTGAGGGAAAAGTGACAAAACACGACGATAGAAAAGTGAAGGTTCCCGACGGTTTCAAACAATTGTAAATAGAGAATAAATTTCATTTTTCAGCATTATTTTTGCATCACATTTTGACGAAGTGAAGATTCGCACTTCGTCAAAATGTTTTGCATTCTCTACTGTATCTTCGAGTTCTTCTTCATCTAACTTCTCATGAACTTTCTTGTCTATGGAGTCCATAATATCTTTGACATAAAATGCATACTTTACAGAGCACCATTCAGCAACAAAATGAACGAAGTCAGGATGTATGTAAATACCTTTGAATTCATTTATAACACCCTTAGTAAGCTCATAAAATGCTTGTTTTGAGGTCCAGCCACTTTTGGCTCGACCGTATTCTTTCAACCAAAACTCAAGAATTTCCTGCATTTTAGCACTATTGAGAAATCTGTTTAAATGGTTTAACTTTCCTGCTTCTCTTGCCATCTTTGTTGCATTTATATAACCATCCTTGTCTCTACGTAAGACTTCAATACCGTTATAAGTGCCTTTTGTGAATGTTTCGCCATTAGATTTGTTAGTGAATGTTTTTGCTTCGACTGACATTTCTGTTCTTACCTACAAGATAAAAAGTTAGAAAAAAAAATAAAACTAACGTTATTTTTTCTGTCTTAAGGAAATTCATGAGGGTAGAAATGAGGTTAGAAAAGTGGTTAGAAAACGTGTTAGATCTAACATTCTAACATAAACTTTATTTTTGGTGTAAATAAATGGTACCATTAATGATATCATGACTGTTCTCGTTCATGTCTGATTTACATCTAATGAAAAAGTTTAGAAGAATTTTCTTATTCTTTCTGGCATATTTTTGTCTTTCCAATACTCCCGCTCTAATGGTCCCAGATGTGTTGGCTTCGACTCTCTCAAGTTCTTAGATGGTATAACATCTTCAACGCCTCCTTCATATCTTACTTTATAAGTGTCATCGTTTGTGTTATAGCCAAGTATTTCAATAACCACTCCTCGCTTTGCTTCATCAATGGTTTTAGCAAGTTTGCCATTACTACTTTCAACTAATTTATGACGAGGGTAAATGCTATGGAGTCGTCGGCAGCTTTTATAAGATATCCATTACCTTGCGTAGAGTCTACGATATAATAATTTCGACTTAACCTTAAACGTTTCTTTGTCAACGGTTTGTCGTCAAGAACTACACGAACTTTTGTACCAGGAATGAGGGTAAATTGTGTTGAATTTCTGATATTTTGTGTTTGGCTTCGTTTCTTTTGTATATACTTTTCTTCTTGTTGTTGTGTCATTGAATTTGGTGTATGTCCTGTTGTAGAATGTGTTGAGGAATTATATACTTCGAGAAAGTGTTTCATTGTTTCTTCGGTAAAGTCTCGCTCTTGGTTTAAATCTCTGAGCGTTCTTATGAAGCGGTTAATGATGCCGAGTATGTTATGGTTATGGTCTTCAGTAGTGTAGTGAGTTATGTTATGCTTAATGAGAAAATCTGTGATTTCATTGCTGAGGTATGCACTGTCTTGGTCTGATGTTAAAGTACTTGGGCTATGTTCTGCTACAAACTTTTGTAAAACTCTTAACACTTCACGAGTTCCTTTATTTTTCATTGGATATGCATATGCTTTGCGAGTGTTAACATTAATGAAGATGAGGAATGGTTTATGTCCTCCTTTTCTGCTTTGAATGAGAGTGTCAAATTGGTATGCGTCAGGAGTGTTGGAGTAAATTGGTAAAAAGTAGTCGTAAGGGTTTATTTTTGTTTGATGTACAACATTTTTGTCAAAGAACTTTTTCACTTCAGCTCTGTTAGTAAATCCCCAACTTTTTGCTGCTTCATTGAACTTCTTAAATGACCTCCATGGATGTTGTTCGAATACTTCTTTCAAGCTCATTTATGTAAAGTTAAAGATTTCATTGACCACGGTACCATGCGAATACAGTCACAAATGGTGGCATATAATCTGCACCCGAGCCTGTTGGATTTGTTGTGAAAGTGTGTGAATGATTTCCTCCTGGTTCAGTTGGTCGAAAAATCTTTTTTGCAGCATTGTTATAAGATGGAGATAAAACATCATTGCCAGCTTCATATTCTGAGTTGTATAATGGGTGGTCTCTTAATGAGTGGCTATGGTGGCCAGAAAAGTTTGTAGTTCCTGTATGAGTGTGCGGTGGAAGGTTTGCTTCTTTAATTTTCTTCGAACCTCCTGTTTGCTTTGAATATCTAGCACAGTATAAGAATTTATCTACAATCTGCTTCCACGTACCAAAACCTAAAACACTTGCTGGATTTGTTGAGTTCATTGACGTATAAATAGAACCAACAGGATATAATGTTTGAAGTATTTCAGTCTTTAATGTTTGAAGCTCTGTTTTGTCTGCTTTCTTATCTAACATTGTTGGTAGTTCATATGCTTCAAAGTTTCTGGCATGATCTTCGATATTCCTGCAACTGTTATCTAAATTGTTAAGAGTATCTTTTACGCTTGTACTTGGATTTTCTAATGGTGCACTTGAACCAAGGGTATAGTTCAATATTATGTCGTCTGCTCTAACAGTAGTGAAGGATTTATGTGTATGGTTCTTGTCAGCTTTATTATCATATAAATCTTGAGCAGTGAATTTAACATTATTTTCATCATCCATGACATAAACATTTTTACAGCTAATTTCTTTCTTCGTTGTTATGTTTTCATTCGATGTTAAACCTTGTGGAAAGTTAGGAGGTTTATAATATAAAGCAGCCGCGTGCGGCGGGGCTCCGCCCTCCCCACCAGTTCCTTCAACCGTTCCTTCAATACTTTCTATAGCAACAGTTGAGAAGGAGTTATGTGTATGTTCTTTATCTGCTTTTTTATCTAACATTGCTGGTAGTTTATATGTTTCAAAGTTTCTGACATGACCTTCAATGTTCATACATTTACTATTTAAGGAGTTTAGTGTATCTTTTACGCTTGTACTTGGATTCTCTAAAGGTGCACTTGAACCAAGGGTATAGTTCAATATTATGTCGTCTGCTCTAACAGTAGTGAAGGATTCATGTGTATGGTTCTTGTCAGCTTTATTATTTAATGTAGCTTGAAGTTCATTTATATCGGAGATATTGTGTTTATGAGATTTCAAAACTTTGTTCGTTGCGTCAAGTTCATCTTTGTCAGCTTTACTTTTAATAGCATCTTCAAAAGTTATTTTTGCCTTAACTCTCAAAGTAAATCTTGGTTCAACTAATACACCGTTAACAAAGAAGTATGAAGCATAAATTTCATTGTTATAACCAAATGCTTCTGGTGCTTTACCTGTGTCATACTGTACAGTACAGTATATGTCATAACCTTTAGCACGAATGAATTTATATCTTCTTTCATTAACATCTTCAGTGCTTATTTGTTCGTCCTGTGTTAAATATCCATGGTAGTCCGTTATAATCTGTTCGTCTGAACTTATATAATGAACATGGTTTTTATCTGCTTTTTCGGCTAATTTCTCTTCTATCTCATTTATTTCAAGTTCATGCCTACCACCACCTCCCGAAGAAGTATTTTTCTTCAGCTCTTGAAGAACGTCCACTTCGCCATCTTTGGTGTCAATAATGAGACTTTGAGTTAAAACCTTTCCTGTCTTAATGGATGTTTGTAAAACTTCTTCTTCACCGTGTTCGGGGTCATGGTCGTCATCATATCTTGTGAAATCAGAGATGTTGTCATACATTAAGCATATCTGTCTCAAAAGTTCTGCTATTTGAAACTGGAACGAAAGATATACAGAACTTTCATCATCTCCTAAAGTCAAGTCTGCTTTCTTAAGTATTTCTTGAATGTATGCAATGAGAACAGAGTACCTTGGAAAATATTCGAACAATATTTCATTAGCTGTTGGTTTTGGTGGTTCTTCTGGAGTTTCTGTTGGAGTTTCTGCATCTCTTGACTTCAATGCTCTTGCTCTCAAAGACCTAAATGTTAGAGCACCAGGTTTTACAAAGGACTTTATAAATGCTTTAATAGTTCCTGGTAAGTTATTGTTAGTATTAAGTAAGTTCCTTATGCTTCCATCATGTACGTCCATAGCACTATGTAAAAAATCTATACTTTTCTTGTAGTCAGCAATAGACTGACTGTGATTTTTTAAAGATTTGTCAATACCTTTAAGCCAATCTTCATGCATGTCTGATACTGAGCCAAGAATGTCATTTGCTTCCTTTAGTGTATTTTGTGCTTCTCGTAAAGTATCCAATCTCGTACGTGCATTGTTTGCTATACGTCTTACAGTATCTATTTGACTCCTTGTTTCTTGCATCCAACCAGATAAAGTTTTAATAGTATCCGAACCATTTGAAATGAAGTTCAAAGCATTTTTAACGTCATCTAAAACTTCTTCACCAAGTACTGCCCATATCTTTCCGATTTGGTATTGAAGAACTCCATATGAAGCAGCTGTTAAACCAGTATTTATAAGGTTCCATATCCATGATTTAGCAGTTTTTCCATCCTTTCCATCTTCACCATCCAAACCGTTTTCGCCTTGAGGTCCTTGTATTCCTTGTATTCCTTGTGGTCGTTGAGGTCCGGTGTCACCCTTCTCTCCTTTCAGTTCATCTTTATGTTCGTTATAATATTCTAATGTCATAAGGTGTACATCATTACTGCTACCAGCAACGCCGAGAATTTGTTTCTCATTCATGACTAAATTCTTTAGGCATTTAATGTTGTCGTCAAATCGAAAGCTCTTTAACAATTCAATGAGAACATTTAATACTTTCACTAATGAGGCATCTACTGTAGAATTTATATATTGCACCGTTCCATCATTTATGATAGGAACTTTACTTATTGTAATGAATGGGTCATACGTGTTAAAAGTATCGAAATCAATGACTTTTTTAGTTTTTCCATCGTCAATGACTAAATCATTGCCTTCAATGGTTAAAGTTGAGTTTTCGTTTACTAGTTCATGTGCTCTTCTTGCTTCATTTGTTTCATACGCATATGCAGCAATAGTCATATTTTAATGAGAATAAAATGTTGTTCTATTTGCAAAGTACAGACCCAAACGAATACGGGACAGTAAAGCTACAAACAAACTTAGGTCTTCAGAATGAAGCGCTTGCTTTCAGAGTTGTTGACTTCAATACTATCGCAACTTTTGTCATAACAGATGAAACAGATTTCATAGAGATTGAAATAGATGACAAAAGAAGTGTTATAACATTTCCTAATAGAGCTGGGTATAGAATAGATAAAATTGCTGGAGTCATAGATACTCTCATAAATGAAGAAACTATTGACAACATAGATGTCGAACTCTCTTCTGAGGGAACATTGAAGTTCAGCAGCGAGAAAGAGTTTAAGATACCAAGAATGAGTCATAGAGTACAACTTCTTTTGGGTGCATACCATATGACATTTCCTTTGAAAAGTGTTGACAAAACGATTGAGATGAAATCTGTTCCATACGTATGTTATGGTAATTGTTTGTACATTGAGTCAAAAATAGCTAATGTCACAGGTATTTCAGGAGTTAATAGTAAAGGTTCAGTAGAATATAAGTCTTTCTGTTATGCAGTCAATTCAATGTTCATTCCAAACGTTCCTGTCATAGCAACTCATTTAGGTAAATGGGTTCGCATTAGTCCTCATAATTTGAAAGACATGCAATTCAGAATTGTTGACTTTCAAGGAGAGCCTGTAGAACTGAAGGCACCAGTGCGAATGACTGTTGAAGTTGACTTTTTAGAAAATATTAATGCAACAGCTTACAGAGAACTCAGAGCTAAAAATATAAAGTATGAATGTTATGTATTAGGTCATGAACTTTGGTTGTTGCTGTTTTGATGAAACAAATGAGTTAGTTATTCAGTCAAGAGAACAGAAAAATATTGTGTTAGTGAAAACTGCACCAAGTCAATAAGATTAGGTTTGCATTATGAAGATGAGTTCGATACTGTTGAAGAAGTTTGGATAGATATTACAAATTGCTAACTTGAAATTTTTTGACTGACGGCGCAAAGCGCCAAGATGGGCTCAAAGAGCCCTCCTGACTGCTTTAATTTACTAAAACATATTTCAAACAAAGCTTATAGTCAGTAGATAGTTTTTATACTCGTTCGAATATTTATACTTAAACTCAACTCATGTAGTTCCTGGTGTTTCAATGATGCGGATGTTACCTATTTTCATGAATAGTGGAGTTTGACCACAGCATTCGATTTCAGGGTCGAGATAGTCAATGACACATTGTTTCCCTGTTATTCGTGAGATAACATTTTCAAGGTCCTCCTTTGTTAGAATTATTTGGTTCTTACTTATAAGATTTGTCAAAAGCTTCTTATCGTCTTTGAGTAAAATTGTTTGGTATAACTGAAGAAGGTAATGGTCTACGTTATCTGAAGGATTGTTTGAACATTTGTGTAAGGGTTGTCGTTGGCTTCTCTTGAAAGAATTTGGTCTAATGGTGGATACTCTAACTTAACATCTGATGTAGCGTTAGCGTTTGAAGCTGAGTTTAAATTCACCGACTTAAGTTCTGGTTCTGGTTCTTTCAAACACTCTGAACTATAGTTCTTTATGACAATATTGTTTGTCGTTCGTGAGTCAACATTTGATGTTGGTTCAATTGGAACATTAACGGCACCAGCTAAGATGGATTTGCTTCTCATTTCATATAGAATAAAAACCTTTTATATGTATGAAATGAACAACATACTCGACAAGGGTTTGAATGTAAAGCTAACGAATGAAAATATTGTTGAATTCACTGAGACAGGAGCTGCGTATAAAGATGTAGAACTACTGAACAAAAGAGCAAAGGGAAGAAGCAGGAATATGAACAAAAGTTAGTATGGCTAAGTCGTGTACTGAGGCACTGCGCGCCTCCGTACACCACTTAACCTTAAATATTTACAAAACCAGTAACGTATATTTTACAACACAAACGACAACACTAACTTAACCTTAAATATTTACAAACCGCCAACCACTAATGACTTCATTAATGTAAAAATAAACGTTCTCACTTACAAAAGTATTGCAACTCCTCCCATTGCTGTGCTTCACATAACAGCTCATAATCTTCTGACTCACTTTCTTCTTCATATAGGTCAAAATCACTGTCAAAATAAATGTTAGTAAGTTTTGACAAAGCTAATGAAACACGTTTACCGTTTGTATCGTATGCTTGTATAAACTTTCCATTCTTCATTCCTTCATAAACGCTCAAACTAACTTTACCCTTTCTCCCTCGTATCTGATAGAATGTATTTTCACGAGGAACGAAGAACAAATTCTTGAACTCATGACCGTTGTAGTTTGTTATCTCAATAGTTTTCGTCATTTATATAAAAATAAACTTAAAAATAATGATATCACCACCCTCACACGTATGAAAACATAGCACAAAAATAATGTTTAGGGTAGATGGTTAGATCTAACCTCATTTCTACCCTCATTTCTACCCTGTTGAATTCATTGCTTTATTCCTCACTGTCGTCTGCTTTCTCCAACTCTTCTAACTTCTTCCTAAGTTCACCAATGTTGTCCTCATGAAGTTTAATCTTCCTTAATATACCTTCTCTATCTAATGGTTGCTTTATCTTTCTAAACTGAACTCTACCATCCTTCATAGTATGAATATAAAAACCTTCTGGAATAATTCCTGATTTAATGTATTCTACCAAAAACTTTTGTTTCATTGCTTCAGTGACTTTATTTGTCATTTCAATCAAAGGTGAAGCTAGCACAGCGATAATGGATTTCATGACTTTTTAGTATTTCATGCAATCTTAACAGATAGCCTTACAAGTACTTCCAGTGTCCCTAGCTGTCCCTCCTTTTTATATAACTCCATGACATTTATAATCTCGCGAAACTTAACAGGTAGCATAACAGATTAAAATCAGATGAGGTTTTGAACCAAAATTTCTAAGCAACGTTGTCAAGGATTTTGAGGAACTAGGGACAGAGTGTGGCAAAGTCCAAGATTTAATTTATCTTCATCTGTTTCATCAGCTATCTCATCTAATATGCCAATATTTTATTCATAACTCGTGGCAAACTCACTAACTTTCGTTATGTTCATCTGCATGCTTCATCTGATAGAAAGTATGACTTTCATTAACTCTGTGAGATAATGAAAACTACTAGGGACAGAGACCATGGCAAAGTTTATGACTTTCATTATTTCCAGAACTTAATGAAAACTACTAGGGACAGAGACCATGGCAAAGTTCATGATTTAATTTATTCTCTCACTAACAACAAACACAAACTCCAACACTAACACCAAGTACTAACTTCAGCACAAATGACAAACACTAACAACAAGTACTAACTCCAACACTAACGACAAAAATAAATGTCCTCACTTCTTAACAAAGTAATATGTGCTTCTTACACCACCATAGCTCAAACGTTTCTTTTCAAACATCGATTGAAACTTATTTTGAGCCATTGGCTTTAGTCTCTTTTTCTTCAAATACGCCAAGAAATCTTCTTCACATCTTTTCACTTCATAGCCTTCTTTAAACTCCTCCTTGTTAAGTTCTATGAAATCCTTTATCTCATTCTTTGTTGCAATGGCTTCTTCACGAACGACATCATGAACTATTTCATCACTGTTCTCATGTATGACCTCCTCACTGTTCTCATGAACTATTTCATCACTGTTCTCATGTATGACCTCCTCACTGTTCTCATGAACTATTTCATCACTGTTCTCATGTATGACCTCCTCACTGTCTTTCATAAGCGTTTCAAAGTCTCCTTTACTCATTACTTCAATCTCATGCTGTTCACAGTAGTACTTAAACTCACTGTATATGTCTTTGTTGTATGTTATATTGCTTCCCATGTACTCCATGAATTTTTCAAGCACTTCCTCATAATTCACTGTTTCTTTCTTTCCACGACCTTCTAATATCATACTTGCTTCGTAAATATAACTTCTTGCAGAACCGTCTCGCTTTCTACTTCTTCACAAATTCTCTCATCTTGCCGCCAAATACATTTGAACTACATGCAAAGAATTCATTCTCCTTCGCAAATTCTTTATATCTTCTGTAGCACTCTGTACAATTCCATCCGGATACAAACTTTTCATAGAACTCCTCGTAAAACATTTGGTAAGGTGTTTTGTTCATTTCGATGAGTTCTTGTTTAGCCCTGGTGAATGGTATCTTCCTTACATCAAATTCACTTAAATCTTTCCTCATGAAGTACGTCAGTAAGTTTGAATAAAACTCTTCATTAAAGCTTTCAATGAGATTTGAGAAATATTCGTAATTTCCTTTGTATCTGCTGCTTACGTCAATGACAACAAATCTTCTGTCGTCTTTATCAATCTTTACTGAGTTGAAGTTGTTAGATATCATGATGATATTACAAACATTCTCTATCTTTCTTACTGGCTGACACTTCTGATTTAAGTCCAACTGAGTCTCTGTTACTATTGACTTTAGTGCGTCGTGGTTCATGACCTTAGACGTATCGCATGAGCTTAGTTCATTGCATACGATGAGCTTCATGTTCTCAATAGCAGCATTGAATCTACCAACCACATTCTCTATTGCCGTTATATTATTGTTGGCGTACTTGCTAATGAGCTCGCATAGAACATTACTAAGTACATTCTTACCAGTTCCTTGCTTTCCTATTAACAAAAGTACTGTTCCAGTCTTTCCACAAGGATTTTGAACGATGTAGGCGAACCAGTTCAAAACATACTCATAAAGCTCTTCATCCTCATTACATATGACATCGTGAACATGTTTCAAATATCCTTCAATAACGTTCTCATCTACTTCATTCAGTACCTCATACTCATATCCTCTGAAATAGCTGTAAATGTCATCTCTTTCGTCAAAGAATCTCATGCCTGACTCATAAGATAGTTCTTGTTCTGACCCGCTTCATAAATCATCAGTGCGTTCACATCCTTCTCCTCAATACGTCCTACATAAATACTCTTCATGAGCTTATTGAATTCCTTGCTATCTACTGACACAAGTG